GAAAGAAAGAAAGAATGGAAGAAAGAAAGAAAGAAAGAAAGAAAGAGGGGAGAAAGGATGGAAGTTAAAAAAAAAGGTTTGCATGGGTTTTGCCCCTTTGCTGTGTGAGATGCTAATTTTCTTTTATTTTCAATTCCCCTTTCAAGCTGTCAGGAAATAACAAAAAGCACTGCTTTGCCTTTCTCTTCCTCGCTCCGCGTTTTAAATCCCCCACCAACACCCCTTTCTCTGGCCGTGGACTCAGGAAGACGACAGATTTCAGTTCGCCTCTGGTTTCTCCTCCGTTTGGGGGATTCAGTCTCTAGAGCCTTTTGCAATAATTCCTAAACCAGGAGATAAATAACGAGAGCCCCCCCGAACGGTGGGCGAGCGGGTCGGGTTCGGCATGGAGGAGGCGCCGCGAGCGAAGGTCCACCGAATGCCCTTCGCTCGTTAGCCTGCTTTGTCCTGTTTTTCTTCCAAAAAAAGAGAGAGAAAAGCTCAAAGGGGAACTTTTCCGTCCCTGTCTTTCTTGACATTTTATTCCCCACAAGCTAAGTCAGGCTGAATGCAAGCGAGCGAGCGGCTGGCTCATGGTCACCGTGATGGTGGACGTGATGGTTCCGTGGTGGTCTCGGGCATGTATTTTTTTCCCAAGGGCCAGCCAAACGCTCTAATTTCTGCCCTCTTCCTTATCCCCGGATGCCCTGCCTCTGTTCGAAATAAGCCTGCGGAAAAAACAGCAGCCTTCCCGTTCTCCCTGGATTTGCCGTTCCTGCCACACATTGCCCTCGGGTGATGCCGGTGGGAGATGAAGCCTGTTGGAGTAACTCCAGACGAGAGCTGCAGTAAGTAAGTCCGGGGCTTGAGTGGCCCAACGCTGGCATTGATCATCACTCTTGTGGCGCAGTAGTTAAACTGCAATACTGCAGTGAAGACTCTGCTCGGGACTTGAGTTCAATCCCAATGGGCTGAGGTAGCCGGCTCAAGGTTGGCTCAGCCTTCCATCCTTCCGAGGTCAGTAAATTGAGTACCCAGTTCAGTGGGGGAGGGAGGAGGCAATGTATAGCCTGTATAATACTGGCATTGATCATCACTCTTGTGGTGCAGTAGTTAAACCGCAATACTGCAGTGAAGACTCTGCTCGGGACTTGAGTTCAATCCCAATGGGCTGAGGTAGCCGGCTCAAGGTTGGCTCAGCCTTCCATCCTTCCGAGGTCAGTAAATTGAGTACCCAGTTCAGTGGGGGAGGGAGGAGGCAATGTATAGCCTGTATAATCAAACAGTGAATTATCTGGAGAGAGCATTATGAGGTGGTATCTAAGCCGCATGTTTTGCCTTGGGTGAATTGTTTGGAGAGAGAGCTTCAAGCATTATGGGGTGGTATCTAAGCCGCATGTTTTGCCTTGCAGCCATCTCTCTGATCTCCCGAAGTTTTGCCTTGAAATTTGAAGCCGGGGACAAATTCTGAGCAGGAAGATCCATCTCCGTGGAACCATGACGACCAACCTTGATATCTTTGTGGGGAACACCACCCTCATTGACGAGGAAGTCTACCAGCTCTGGCTAGACGGGTACTCGGGTAAGAATGGGGTTCCAGCTTCGGTACGGTGGGTAAGAGGTCACATGCAGCTTTCTCTAACTGTGACTCTGCTGGCTGAAGATGATGGAGAGTTGTACCTGGGGCCTCTGGGGAGCACGAGGTTGTGGGGGGAAGGAATGTCCGGCGTAGAGCAAGAGACACACAAGGTATCTTGGCTGTGGTCTTATTGGCCAGAATCCTGCAGGGGATTTGCACCAGTGTAAGTGGATAATCGGTAAGCGAAACAGTGAACCAATCATCACAAAGTGATTTTTACCCATTTAAAACATCGCAATGCGATCGCTTTTGCGATCGCAAAATCTTAGTCGCTATGTGGATTCGGCGTTAAACGGGGCGCTCGTTAAGCGAGGCACCACTGTATATATATATTTTTCCATCTGTAACTGCCACCCATTTTGCCCGTAGTCTTTCAAATAAGCTGTTTATTGCCTCCCAGTGAACGATGCGGTGGCGCTCCGCCTGCGCAGTGGGATCTTGGAGCAGACGGGGGCCACGGTGGACGTCCTCCAGAGCGACACCATGGACCATTACCGGACGTTCTACATGCTGGAGCGCCTTCTCCACTCGCCTCCTAAGCTGTTGAATCAGTTGCTTTTCCAAATCCCGCCGTACCGCCAGACCATGCTGATTGAGAGGTGGGAGGCTCCGTTCTGGTTTCGTTTACCTCCTTCCAGTCCCATGGGATGAAAAATATATTTAATAAATAAGCACATCAATCAATGAACACTGTGCTTAAGAAACCGGTCAGGAAGAGAGGCATTTTAATCTCTTGCCACCAAAACAGCAAAGGAGCCTTACGCCCCTCTGGAAACAAATAGATTTTATTTGGCATACCTTTTTCCACCTCGCAGACCAGGTTATTTTCTATTTCCAGGCAGCGTGGTGTAGTGGGTAGTGTGTCTAAGTAGAAGCCATGGTATGTGGATTCAGACCCTGACTCAGATATAAAGGGTAGCACTGGGGCCACCTCGTGGTTGCCTTCCTGTCTTGGAGAGTCCTGATTCAATAGGAAGGGGGGCCGTCATGTTTGGAGAAAATAAAATAAAAATGTAAGTAACAGTCAACATTGTAGGTTTGGTTTGGGGGGGGGAAGTGAGATATAACTAAGTCCAGGGGTGGGCAATTAATTTCTATAGGGGGGCCACATGAAAAATCTGAACTGTGTTTGGGGGCTGAACCAACTTTACTTAAAATAAAATGAAACGGTGATGTTATGGTTGTTTTTATTTTAAACTTCTTAATCTTCACAAATGCTAAAGAGGGTTTTTTGCAGTATGTTAAAGATAAGCAACTGATCGACTTCAGACAAAAAGCTATAAATGGTTTTGATGTTCAAAACTGTCCGCGGGCCGGACAGGAGCGGCTCGCGGGCCCCGCATGCGGCCCTTGGGCCGCACTTTGACCAGTCAATCAATCAATCAAACCCAAGCTGTTTTCTGATGTGCTTATTTATTTCATATATTTGTTGGTTACATTTTAAAAGCAGCCTTATTCGCAGTGAACCCAAGAAAGCATAGAGGGCCGTCCTCCTCCCGGCTTCCCACTCGCCATAACCCTGAGAAACAGGTCCGGCGGAGAGTGTGTGCGATGGGCTCAAGGGCCCTCCATGAGTTCCCTGCCTCATTGGGGTCTAGAGCCTTGATCTCCCAAGTCTCGTTCTGTGACCGGAAGCGCAACAGCGTCCCGGCTCTCTACCCGTGTGCTCCTTTGCCTCTTGTCCCTCTGGCTCCAGGTACTATGCTTTTGACGAGGCCTTTGTGAGGGAGGTGCTGGGGAAGAAACTCTCGAAGGGCACCAAGAAGGATCTGGACGACATCAGTGTCAAGACCGGGGTGACGCTTAAAAGTTGCCGTCGGCAGGTATTCGCCTTTTGGGCTTATCTGTGGGCTTTCGGGAACGCCGGCCGGCTTGTTTCTTCCAACATTTAAGGTGCTCGATGGCTCTGAGCTGACAGACTGAGTAAAGATCTATCCATTGGCTCAGTCCAGATCTGTTCCACTCCTCACCTTTTCTCACAACACCCCTGTGAGGGAGACCAAGCAGAAACCACGGAGGAGAGCGTTCTGTTGAGGGTGTACTACAGAAAGCGTCTTGTCTCTGCCGAGCCAGCAAAAGCCGCAGTGGTAGGAAAGAGGACTTGCAAATTCAATGATATAAAGGTTTTATAGTAAAAACAGGTCTCAGTCCCGGGTCAAGCTGGACATGGGTCACCGTCAGATAGAAGACACGTCTTGGCTGTCTGTGTGTGGAATTCTGGTTTGTCATGATTTCCACATTTATAGCTGTTCTCTGCCACAGGGAACGCTTTTAATGGAGTTATGCTAGAGGGCTGGTTTCAAAGGAGGTAAAGATACTTGGAACAGGATTGAACAAATAGAATTGAGCCTTGGAGAGGATAGTGGAAAGGAGGACAGTCAAGTTAAGGATGAAGGAAACCAGGAGCAGAAGGATGCTCAGGTGTTGACCTGATCTGTACAGTGGTGCCTCGCATAGCGAGGTTAATCCGTTCCGGATTAACCCTCGCTATGTGAAAACATCGCTGAACGGATCAAGAAAACCCATTGGAATGCATTAAACATCGTTTAATGCGTTCCAAATGGGCTGAAAACTCACTGTTCGGCGATGTTTTCCTTACCAAGGGCGCGAAAACGCGCGCGGCCATTTCGGGGCTTCCGGCGGCCATTTTGGAGCCGCCGAACAGCTGATCCGCGGGGCGCAAAGCGAAGGTCGGTAAGCGAAATGCTTACCGACCGCTATGCGAGTTTCGCCCATTGGGGCCATCGCTTTGCGATCGAAAAAACCCCCTTGCTATGCGGATTCGTCGTTCTACGGTGCGCTCGTTAAGCGAGGCACCACTGTATATCCGTTTGATCGATTTATTTGACTCTATTTACCTAGAGAACTCGGGGCAACATACGTAGGTCTTCTCTTCACAACGACCCTGTGAGGCTAAGACAAAAACAACTACTAAAAGGTCTAGTTCTGGCACCAGAGGACTATACTTGCAAGATTGTGTTCCTGGAACAAAGCATGTCGTGCTAGGAGGGAATGCGTGGATGCCGTCTGGGTGTTAGAAATGGGGGGAAAAGGTAGTTTAGAAGTTGGGTGAGCAGTTTATTGGGACGGGACAGATAAGCCTATTTCGAATCCATCTCTCTTTTGCTTGGGTGCATTCACAGATTAGTTGCGACCTATTTCCACCTTGATTTGTGGAGGATTTTTTTTAATCTGGATAAAAACTCCCAGTTTAGTACACATTCGACCTGTTCTCCCAAAATGGGCTACAGTAAATGTGTTTTCTCTTCAAACGGGCTTGTTTTCCTTCCAAGCGTGCAACTCTTTGTTGAGTTCATATCAAAATAAGCAGGTTCTCTCTCAAAATGCACCTTTTATGTGTGTTTGTGTTCTATCAAAATGCACCTTTCTTCGTGTTTTCCCTCACAGGGAGCGCTTTCGTACATGCCGCATCTCAAAAGATACATTTCTAGGCGCACTTTCTGTCAGAATGTGCAACTAGAAAGGTGTTTTGTCTCAAAACAACACGTTTTCTCTTGGAATTGACGTTTCTGCACATATTTTCTGTTGAAATGTGTTTTTTTCTCCCCTAAAAAAAGTGCGTTTCTAAACATCCCCCCAAATGTGTGTTTCTGCGTTTGTTTTGATACTTCATTTGAACTGAGAATATTTGGGAAATCCAAAAGTCGCTTCATGATAACTAATTTCTCATCCATGCATTCATCTTGGAGGCAATGATTACCTCAGTTTTATCCAAAATTTGTCAGAATGGTGGATTTCTCAGGCATCTCTAGCCATTGAAGAAGCAAGGGGAGAAAAGTTATCCTACCTCTTTACAAGCAGTAACATACTTAGATCTAGCTGTTAGTGATTTGATCCACCACTAAAATGATGTCTTTATTGGAAGCTAATTACCGTATTTTTCTGTGTATAACCCAAAATTAAGGAATCTAAGTGGGGCTTAGCAAGTGTAGGGGGAAAGGGATCAAAGCGCTGCAGGATCGCTTTGATCCCTGCTTTCCCCTCCACTTGTTTTTGTTCTTTCCTCAGCTTATTTCCGTGTATAAGATGACCCTCAATTTTTAGTCTAAAGATTTTAGACAAAAGTATAGTCTTATAGACAGAAAAATGCAGTAGTTTTATACCAGTGGGATCCTTAACATAGCCCTTAATGAGCTTCGGTTTCAGACTATTAAATCAGTTCTGCCTCGTGGTAAATTCACGTCTAATTTCTGCTCTGTTCCAGTTTGACAATTTCAAGCGAGTCTTCAAGGCCGTTGAAGAACTCCGTGGGTCGCTGGTAGAAAACATCCAACAGCACTTCCTGCTCTCGGACCGGCTCGCCAGGTGTGGGTCAAAGATTGAAGAAGAAATGGGGTTATATTGTGGGCTTGCCTGCAAACAAACCACAGTTCCTCTGTCTGCAAGCCATGGTTTATTGTTAGCTCACGAAACCGTGACTGCCGCTCATCACAGCCAAACGGAGAATGGCTGGCTTATTTTTTAAAAAGTTTAACATCCTGTCCTTAAACCCCTCTCCTCTTCTGCCATCTTCCCAGGGATTATGCAGCCATCGTGTTTTTCGCCAATAGCCGCTTTGAGACTGGGAAAAAGAAGCTGCAGTACCTGACTTTCGAAGATTTTGCCTACTGTGCCGAGCAGATGATTCAGAACTGGACTTTAGGGGCAGTGGGTAAGTCTGGTCCAGAGCCGTTCGGATCTTGTGACTCATCACTGGGTTTGTAGAAGCACCCGTTGTCATTGCTCATTATATACTGGACAAGTAAGTTTCTGTGTTACGTGGCGGTGGTTATGCCCTTTTTCTGGATGGTAGGCAGCTCAAATTGTGGTTCCTCCATACAATCACACCCTTTGTGGTCCCACTCTTCCACCCAAAATAATTACCGTATTTTTCCATGTATAAGACCCCCCATGTATAAGACCCCCCCACTTTTCTAACCCAAAATTAAGAAATCTAAGTGGGGCTTAGCGAGTGTAGGGGGAAAGGGATCAAAGCGCTGCAGGATCGCTTTGATCCCTGCTTTCCCCTCCACTTGTTTTTGTTCTCTCCTCAGCTTACTTCCGTGTATAAGACGACCCTCAATTTTTAGTCTAATGATTTTAGACAAAAGCATAGTCTTATACACTGAAAAATACAGTAGTTAATAGGTGTGTGTTATTTCCAAGCTCTGATTTTGTCCCTCGAAATAAGGGTGTGATCCGATGGGCATTTATCCCATTGTTTGGTCTGCTGCGAGTTCACACATCTTTTTTTTTTTTTGGCAATCACACAGTGTAATTGCTAGAGTGAACCAGACCCTCCCCAGAACATTCCTACCCATACCTTTCTGAGTCCCGGTCAGGGGCTTCTACTGTTTTTTGATGTGGGTAGATGTGTTCCATTTTGGTTTGCTTTCCCTCTGTCTTGTTTCCTATATTGTGAAGTGGCTTAAGAAGGAAGCTTAGCTGCTTCACGATATTGGGAAATTAAACGCTTCCTCTGCTCCGTGGAGGGGCGGAGGAAGTTAAATATATACACAGTTCCACTGTATTAAGGCAGTGCTGGTACGAATCAGAATTTTTTTTAAAAAAAAAATCAAACTTCCAGAAGTGGGAGGAGACAAGAGGGAGGTTTCTCTCCCCCCCTTTCTCTGTGACTTTTCTTAAACATTAGGCCAAGAATCGGCCCAAAGCCAGATCCTCTGCCTGCCGTTACTTGGTAGTAAGTTGGGTGCTAGGCATCACAAAGCGTTAAACTGTCTTCTTAAGCCGCTTCAGAATATTGGCCACTGACAGTGGAAGAAACTGAACCAAATGCGTTTCGTTGAGGTATGTATGCCATTTGTACACAAGTATTGCACCCAATTGTGTTGTATTTGGTTTGCATCAGCCCACTCCAGATGAACCCCTGTAGATAACCCCCATGCTTCTAATCTTCATTTTGGTTAGGAAGGCTGGTTTGGTATAATTTCCTCCCTCCCTCCCCTCCCATTTTAATTGCACTCGCACCATTTTCTAAAATCCTTAAACAAGATTTTTGCGAAGGCTTTCACGGCCGGGATCTAATGGTTGTTCTGGGTTTTTCAGGCTTTTTGGCCGTGTTCTGAAGGTTGTTCTTCCTGACATTTCGCCAGTCTCTGTGGCCATGGGCATCTTCAGAGGACAGCAATTCAGAGGACGGCATCTTGAGAGCACAGGTTGCTGTCCTCTGAAGATGCCGGCCACATAGACTGGCAAAACGTCAGGAAGAACAACCTTCAGAACACGGCCAAATAGCCCGAAAAAACCCAGAACAACCTTAAACAAGATTGTTTTTTTTAAAAAAAACCACACAGCTGTAGATAAAAGTATGACTTGCGCAAACCCAAAAATGCTTTATTTGAAAACAGGCCAGGAATGTTACATCCTGTGCTGTCCTTTTTATGAGGTTGGATGGGGGAGCATGGGCGGGGGGACTTGAGATTAATACTCCAATATTTTCAGTGTCAAATCAGAAGTAAAGTTTGTTCAGTTCCCACGGGGCTTGGCGCGAGTAAACATCCTGAAGAACTTTTGTAAAAAGAAGCTGGAGGTGGAAGGGCGGAACTTATCCCTGAATTAGAGGGTGGATTTTGCAGATTTGAATTGAACGGCTGATTCCTTTATTAGGGTCAACTATGAAATCACAGATTACACAAGCTTTTTGAGTTCTCCAGAACTTTTCATTGGGCTAGAAAACAAAAGAATGGGAAATGGGGAAATAGTACAGACTTGGAGGCATGCATTTCTTTATTTAGTGGCTGAAATCCTGTTGGATGTATTCTGCCTGCACAGTGGGAATGTCGTTCTTGGGGTGGATTGCCCTGGATTAAACACTTCATTTTTTAAAACAAAAAAATTGGGATGTGCACAACTTGTATGCAATGAGATAAAGTCCCAAAATTCAATGATGATATTAGCACTCCCATTATGCAAGCGAAACCTCCCCAACAGGCCGTTAGATTTGTGCCTTGCCTTAAGACAGCTAACTACAAATAAAATAAGTATAGAACCTTTAAAATTAATTATGACACAAGTTAAAAAAACCCACTAGACTATGTTGTGGTGGAACCATCAAAATGGTGTCCACCCTAGTTTGAAATCCCACTACAGTTGGGTTCACCGTTAAAACCCAGTGTGGATAAAGGAAAGCTTTCTCTTGCTGGCGGAAGAGAACCAGCCAAGAAGGATGAGAGCAAATTGGAGCAAGATCGGAGGAGAGCAACGCCGATGGATGGCCAGAGGACTGGAAACCAAGCCCTAGGAAGAAAGATGGACAGAACTGGGGATTGGGGAACAGAAGACCGAGGGGAGATAGGATAGCGCTTTTCAAATCCTTGAAAGGCAGTCCTACAGAGGAGGGGCAGGATCTGATCATCCCAGAGTGCAGGACACGTCATCATAGGTTCAAGCTACAGGGAAGCCAGGTTTAGGCTGAAGATCAGGAAAAACATCTTAACTGTTAGCGCAGTACGACGACGGAACCAATGACCTTGGAAAGTGTTCGCCAACACTTTGGAGGCATTCAGGAGAGAATGGGACCCACCGTGTGTCGGATCTGCTTTGATTTGGATTCCTGCCTTCCCCAGGGGTCTGGATTCGATGGCCTTTTAGGCCCCATCCAGTGCCATGATTCTGTGATTCTAAAGGAAGGGCCAGCCACGTCCCTAAGGAAAGGGGCGCCCTAGCCTAGAATTGGCTCCAGAGAAAGACCTACGATTGATGGGCTTTTTTTTTTGGTTGAGCGATCGTAGGACGTGGACTTCCAACTGTCCTCCCTCTTGCCTTCACAGATACCAACGTCGACGACATGGATGTTGACCTGGATAAAGAGTTCTTGCAGGGCCTGAAAGAGTTAAAAATCCTAATTACGGACAAAGACTTGCTAGATCTACACAAGAGGTACCTCTGACGGTTCGGCTTCCCTTTTGGGGAGGTGAACAAGGTCTCGGAGTTGGAGGTGGGCTACACATACTCTCTTGAACCACGAGTTCTTGTGGGGGGGGCAGAGGCCTTTTGCAGCCAACTCCTTGTTCCTTAACCTAAATACAGTGGTGCCTCGCATTACGATGTTAATTCATTCCAGCGAAATCGCTGTAGAACGAAAATGTCGTAATGCGAAAAGAAAAAACCCATTGAAACGCATTAAAACCCATTTAATGCATTCCAAAGGGCTTGAAACTCACCGTCCAGCGAAGATCCTCCATAGGGCAGCCATTGCAAAAGCAATCGCAAGAACTTCGTTGTAATGCGATTTCGTCGTTAAACGGGGCAATCGTAAAGCGAGGCACCACTGTATGGCCATTCAATGGTTGTAAAGGGCCTTACGTCCTTTTAAAAAGTGGGTTAAAATATTTTAAATAAATAAACGTCTTCTTGGAGGGCCAGCAGCTAAAATAATGGAAGGCGCTGTTCTTTTGTGCTGCTTTTCACCTTTTCCCCCTCAGCGAGGAAGATGATGTTTTGCTTGAATATATTTTTGCATCTCTCTGCCATTTAATGCTTCGAAAGTCATTTGCAACACCTTCTTGAAACAGAATTAACCCTAATCATTTAGCGGCCCTATTACGGCCGGGATCTGAGACGGAGTCTGGTGGGAGTCAAATGTATTGCATTTATAATTTTTTATTTATTTACTTTTTCTCCGTATAAGGCTTCAGTTTGTTGGCCTTACAGGTCAGGAGATACAGAACCCTAATTTGATTCTCCGCTTTCAATAGGCTGTTCAAGGAATCTAGAAAGCTGGTTCAGTCAGGATAAGGGAACGATGGACTAGGGTTCCTTGCACATTCCACAGTACCAAAGGCCGCCCTGTAAGGCTAATTTCAAATTCAACAGGTCCCTAAAGTTTCAAGTCTATTTTAACGGCCAAGCTTCTCTACCCCATCCCTGCCATTTTTAAATGTTTGGAGGGAGGCATGCTGGGGCCTACAAATACTGTAAATGCTTGGGTCTTTTGCTTTGGCTTTTTAAGGTGTCCCAACGCAGTGCGGTATAGTGGATAGAGTGACACACGAAGGCTCATGAGACCTGGGTTTGATTCCTGACTTTTGCCATGGAAGTTCACTGGGGTGGGTGGAACCGGTAAAACCATTCCTTAAAGACCTCCCTTACTTAGAAAACCCTATTAGGGTTGCTCTAACTTGGTTCCCACATGGGACGTGGTGGCGCTGCGGGTTAAACTGCAGAAGCCTCTGGGCTGCAAGGTCTGAAGACCACCCGTCGTAAGATCAAATCCACACGACGGAGGGAGCTCCCATCGCTTGTCCCAGCTCCTGCCAACCTAGCGGTTCGAAAGCATGTAAAAATGCAAGTAGATAAATAGGTACCACCTCGGTGGGAAGGTCACGGTGTTCCGTGTCTAGTCACGCTGGCCACGTAAACTGTCTACGGACAAACGCTGGCTCTACAGCTTGGAGAGAGAATGAGCACCGCGCCCTAGAGTCGGACACGACTGGACTCAATGTCAAGGGGAACCTTTACCTAAGCTGGTTCCCACTTGATGGCATATCACAAGAGGGCAGGTGGGGGCGGTGGGGTACCCTCCAGATCCTCTTAGACCCCCATCATCCATCACCCTAGCAAGTCAAGTCAACCACTGGAGAGACTTTACAAGGTCTGGCCCACCTCTCAGTCCTAACCCCTGGCATTCCGTGAAAAGTTTGGGGTTGGCGACGTTCCCGCCCTCCTCTAACGACTTCTGTTTTATCTCGTCCCGCGCAGCCTGGTGTGTACATCCTTACGAGGAAAACTCTCCGTGTTCAACGAGATGGAAGCCAATTTTAAGGTGCGCCGTAGAAACTGGGAGATGCCTGGATGCCTCTAGCACCCTAGTTTTAAGCTCACAACCTCTTCCACAACCCCTCCCTGGTTTGGCCTTTTGAGGTGGCTGGCGGGAGGGGGGGTTCCCCTGATCCCCACTGCGCTCATCTTTCCTCGAAAACCTTGATGTCCTCTGGCCTGCTCGTTCTGCGTTGGCCAACAGAGGGTGCTGTGGTTCTGTTGAGAACCTCCATCCTTTTCGGCTGCCTGTGCATTGATTTTATTTTTTGACCTATTCCCTCCTGTCCCCTACCCCCTTTTTCTTTTCTTTCAGAACCTCTCCAGGGCTCTGATCAACATCGCCTCGAAGCTCACGCACAGCAAAGATGTTCGGGACTTCTTTGTGGACCTGGTGGAGAAGGTGAGCAGGAGAGCAGATTGGCAGGAGAGCAGAGATGAAGGATGATAGACACCATCAAGATGAGGCTGCATGGGGCATGATGGATGATAAAAGGATGAGGTCCTTAATTCCCATTCTCAACACAGAGTGAAATAATGAAAGGGATGTGGAGGAAATAAATGCAGGAGAAAAAGGTGTCAATATAAAGGTAAAGGTTCCCCTTGACTTTGAGTCCAGTCATGTCCGACTCTACGGCACAGTGCTCATCCCCATCTCCAAACCGTAGAGCCAGCATTTGTCTGAAGTCAGTTTCCGTGGCCAACGTGACTAGACACGGAAACCCGTGAGCTTCCCACCGAGGTGGTACCTATTTATCAACTCGCATTTTTACATGCTTTCGAACTGCTAGGTTGGCAGGAGCTGAGACAAGCGACAGGAGCTCCCTCCGTCGTGTGGATTCGATCTTATGACGGCTGGTCTTCCAACCTTGCAGCAGCCCAGAGGCTTTGTGGTTTAACCCCCAGCGCCACTGCGTCTCATGTGGGAACCAACTTAGAGCAATCCTAATAGGGCTTCTGGTTTGGGCACATTCTTGGAACTAGGAGTACCGGCTTGTTCGCTTCCGTAAGAAATCAAACCACGTCTTTGCAAACCTGGATTGTAAGGAGTAACTCAAACATGCCTGCGTGCGCACACCTCAAACCTGAAGAGATCTTATATGAGGTTTTGCTGAGAACAGAAGAAAATAAACTTGGATAGCTGACCGAGTGATTGATTTGAAACTTTATGAAGCTGCCTTTGGGCTCTAAAAGCAATGTGGGTTCTCTCTCTCTCCTCCCTCAAGCCTTTCACAGTAAAAACAAATTTAGAAGGCAACCAAACCTATGAATCTGTGGGAAAACGGCTGCATGCAAGACCCCTCTTGGGATTCCTGCTCTTCCCCCTGCAGTCCCCCCCCCCAAGAAAATAAAAGTTTTGGCAGGTTTTCTCATTGAAAGGCTCCATTAAGCCCCTGGCCTCTTTTCGGATAGCTTTGTTTCAGAAGCCAAAATCACTGCCTAAAAAAAATCTGTGAATGGAGGGGACACCTTGGAGATGGCGGTTTGGGGTCGCTGAGCCCCTGTTACGTTTTCTTTTCCCTTCTTAGCCTCCAGGAGATTTTATTTCCCCATTTTGATGTTTGTCTTTTACTTCAACAGTTTGTGGAGCCCTTCCGTTCAGACAAATGGACCTCCAATGACGTCCGTCTCTTTTTGACTCAGTACACGTCGTGCGCTCATTCCCTGGATGCGTTCAGGTGTGTGTGGGGAAAAGGCGGAGGGAAGGGGGTCGCTCTCTTCTACTGCCCCCCCCATAACTACATGTTGTTCCCCTCTGGTTTCCTTGCGCTACCCAAATAATGACAGCCACGTTGGCCGCAAGGCCCATTTCCAAAACCCATATGGTGACGAAATGAACCTCAGTGTGGATTTTGGAATGTGTTTGTCCTGAGAAATTCTGGTCGTCTGCTTCAAAGGCTAGGTGCATTTTAAAAACAAACAAACCCTTCTTTAGAAAAATGGCTTAGCAAAATATGATGTCTTTTTAAAGGAAGTGGAGTTTTAAAGAGAAATTTGGAGGCTCAACCCATACACCTTTCAGCCTCGCCTTTTCAAAAAGCTGGTCGATTGAGATACAGAATACTCCCCATCAGAAAGTGTCAATATGGCTGCTAAGAGGCTTCTGAATCCCAGTAGCAGGAAAGGGCCTGTCTCCTTCACGCCTGGCTCGTAGGGTTCCTCTGTAACCCAGACTTTTCCCCAACCGCCCCGCTTCCCAGTGTGGTCTGACTACAACTCCTATCACCCTTGTCTTTTGGATCAGGCTCACAGTGTGATGGGATTTGTGGTCCGGCCCTGCCATACATCCCTGACTGGCCCCTATAGAAAGCCAGGCGCTTAGAGAGAGAGAAAAAGGCCAGCTCTTAATGATCTCCTCCTGTTGTTGTTTTTTTTTTAATTCACAGAAGTTTTTAAATGCAAAATGTTCTTTTCTCCCTTTTTTTTTTATCCTGCAGGCATCAAGCACTGTGGGAGAGATATATGGGGACCCTCAAGGCTTGCCTTCTGAAGATGTATCATGACTGAGCCTGAGGATGATGAGGATGTTGTGTGAATGGTGTCAATGTTTAATTCTTCTTCGGGAGAGAGAAATTCAAGAGAACGCAGGTCCCACTACTAGCCGCCGAGGTGGGGTCAGGTCTGCAGATTCTGTTGTTCCCTTTCGCCGGCTACTCTGCTGCCTAACTTCGGCTGGCTTCCCAAATCTTCTATATCTTTGGAGCATAAGGCTGGAGAGTTATTTATAAAAAAAAATAAAGCAGTGTTCCTCCGAAACAGGTATATTGCTTAATTTTATTTTAATGGACGGTGGCGTCCATGGACAGGCAGCCAGCATTCAATGCAGAGTGTTGCATACAATATTACTCATTTTGCTGATTGAAATGACAACCCGAGGGAGGCCACTAAACCTACAGGAGAAGCCCTTCGCTCCTCCTGACTAGGTTTCCTTCAAAACCTACCCTGCCTCTGGAGCGACCACATTTTGAAGTGAAATAATACAGATTTACTGCCGAAAGATCCTATTCACCTCCCAAGTATTAAAGCTAGGGTGGTTTATTCATTAGAAGACCGGGCTGGGCCTTAAGAGAGTCAGGATTTTTCCTCCATTGACACTGGGTGACCTTAAGCCAGTCTCACCTGGAGGTACTACCTCACAGGGCTGTTGTGAGGATAAATTGGAGAGGGGAAGAACCCCACACACTCTTGCGGCATTTTGAATGTTAGTTAAAAACCTCTCACTTTGCATCCGAAGCATGTGAACTTAACAGACCCCAATTAGCTTCGAGTCTCCCCAGAGTGGACCCCCACTCCTTTTTTTTTGGTCTTTTTAACTGGCCCTTACGGTCTCAATAACTCATTACCGGTGAGCACCCTTATCCTTCATTCCCCTCTCAGACCAAAATAAAATCAAACGGCTTAACCTAACCGTCAAAAATGGTTACTCTTGAAAACGTTTCTGCCTGTTCTTGAAATATTTCAATCTAATCTTGACAATATTTCTGTTCTAGAACCCAGGCCTCCGAGGCCGCGTGCTTCGTTATCAAAAGGTCCCTGGCAAAATACTTTAAAACCCCACAATAAATCAGAAATACAGCCCACGACGTATGGCAAAAGGATAGAATGTCTGTAAGAAATACTCTTCTGCCGTTACCTCCAAGTTAAGTGGCCTTAAGCCCTTTTTGTTGTTGTTTAGTCGTTAAGTCGTGCCCGACTCTTCGTGACCCCATGGACCAGAGCACGCCAGGCCCTCCTGTCTTCCACTGCCTCCCAGAGTTGGGTCAAATCCTTGTTGGTCACTTTGATGACACTGTCCAGCCATCTCGTCCTCTTGCCTTCACCCTTTCCCAACATTAATGTCTTTTCCAGGGAGTCTTCTCATGATATAGCCCTTTTTGGTGGCCTTTTAATAATGTTTGTGGGTGGGTGTCTCTCTCCATAGTCGTGGCTATGGGATAAGGGTGGGGGGGATGCGGTTATTTGCTCAACATTTGGGGCTAGTGTGCTCCCCCCCTCCGTTCCAGTTGTGGCAAGACACGGGATTTGAACCGGTGGGGGGGCTGTTGTTCCAAAGGTTAAACACAGGCCGCCTTGCTTTATTCCTACTTCATTATTTGCTAAGATCTCTTCCCCCACCTCCAGTCCCTGAAAAAGAAGCCCCTTCCCCAGATTCAACTCTTCCTGCACACCTGCTGTGCGGGATGAGACAGAACCTGGATGTTTGGCTCCGGCTAATCATGCCTTCCAGCCATGTTGTCTCCCACACCTCATTCCTTGCACACACACACACACCTGCACATCTGCAGCAAGAATAGTTTCTTCCTTCCCCCCCCCTTTGAATCTCAGCCTCCCCCACAATTGGGTTGGGGCTGCAGGATGCATCACGGAGCAGAGGGGGAAGGCAGGACGCCTGGGTCCCAAACCAGGCTCTGAATGGGAGAGCCGTTGCTCAGGGCTGTGCGTGCGCCAGGTTGCAAGGTTTGGCGCCTGGGGATGTGTGTAGACCCCGCCCGAAGCAGGAAGCAACCTAAAGCAGAGTCCTACCTTAACAGAGCCGGCTTTCGGCAAAGTTGATGCCAGCAACGGCGTCTATTCCATAGCTCGAACTCTGAAATCCATCTAGGCCACTTGATAACGTGCATTATAATGATAAACAATTTTGCATTTAAATGCACCTCTGTTTTAACGTTGCAGAGACCTCGGCTAGTCTTGGAGAGCAATAGAGTTATCCTGGTCTTAGAGCAGAAAAATCATCCCGAGTAGGTTTTGCAAGAGGTATTTAATATTCTCCTCGATGAAAATATCAGTTAACCTTTCTGTTGGGTCTTCGCTCTGATAAAATCATCTCCGACAGACGAGGCAAAGGTCATTCATTCATTCATTCATTCGTGGCTGTATGGAGGACCCGTCTTTCCTCCAAGAAGATCCAGAGCGGAATAATGTGGCTTCCCACGCCCGACCTTCTCCTGAGGAGGTCAGTCAGCAGAGAGAAAAGGGGGACTGGCCTTGTGGCTGCGGATTGGTCAGAAGATGATGATAAGGGTTCGGTGGGGATTTGAACCTGGGTCTTGTGAGGTGCTACTTGGAGCCATCTTTCCTGTAGGTTTCTTCTGTCTTCTGTATGGCTTGCAGCTCACGGTTGTGCCTTGAGGACTAGGAACTTGGTTTTTTTGAAAGAGACCAAATTCTCTGGATCACAGACTGATTGAGGACTAGGAACTTGTTTTTTTTGAAAGAGACCAAATTCTCTGGATCACAGACTGATTGAGGACTAGGAACTTGGGTTTTTTTTGAAAGAGAGCAAATTCTCTGGATCACAGACTGATTGAGGACTAGGAACTTGTTTTTTTTGAAAGAGACCAAATTCTCTGGATCACAGGCTGATTGAGGACTAGGAACTTGGTTTTATTTTGAAAGAGACCAAATTCTCTGGCTCACAAATGGCTGTCCTGTTGTGTTGATCCCGGTATCATCTATTTACACACACATGCACACGCCCAGGACGAGATGAAGGCACCACACCTCAACGTCAACCAAAGGGTCCGGGAGCACTAAAGCGGAAGAGGCGCGCCAGCGTCGTTCCCCCCTGCTGCCTGGCGCCGCACGCCTTTGCACGAGAGGGTGCAGCACATGTGGGGTTAAACATTCCCCTTTGCACGAGAGGGTGGTGTGACTGGCAGCCTGGGGGGAATGGAGGAGGAGGAGGAGGGAGATGATGGCCGGGAACAGCTGGCCAGGAAAGGGTGTTTGCTGGAAGCTAAGTGAAACCAGATGTTGGGTGGAATCCTTTGGCAATGCGGGCTGCTTGGCCGGGGGCCAGGAATNNNNGTGGGGGGGCCCAAAGGGGGTGGGGGAGCCAGCGCACACTCTCCCAGGGAGGGAGGGAGGCAGCCGTTGCTCTGCATCTGCACCCAGCCGGAATTTTTGTGGGGGGAGAGGATGGTGTTTTGAGCCCACCGCCAGCCCCGAAGGGAAAGCGAGGGGGGACCCCAGTTGTGCTTGGCGCCTGTCAGTGTGGTGAGTGATGGATTTGGCGTTTTCCGTGGCCGGTTTGGTTTGGGAAAGGGGGTGCGTGGGGGGGGGGGTGAAGGAAGCAAGAGAAAGCCAGGGCCCGAAGCACATAAAAAGGGATGGGTGGGTGGACAAAATCCGCTTCTCAACATGTGGAGGACAGAAGAAGTGGGGTGTGTGTTTTTTTTTTTTGAGAGATGATGGGCTGAAAGCTGGTGGATGGACTTTCTGGGGTGATGCCTCAAAAGTCTTGGGGTGCTCCCTCTGGGACCGTCGCTCAGGGGGGACCCCGGAGTCCGTGGAGGAATCTCGGCTCCTCCAGCAGCCGGGGAGGCCCTGATCTTTCCTTCTTGGCTGCGTCCGGCCAGAGTCCGGGTGTGCGCGCTTTCTCTTTGGGTTGCCAATGGGACCCTGGTTTTTCTCCTCTACCGGCAGGCCTCCTCTGGCCCCTCCACGTTTCGGGGTGATGGGGAGCTCTCCAAAGCTTCTTGGGGTCTGGTGGGAAGGATTCTGTGAAGGCCACAAAGGAAGAAAAGTCTCAACGGCCTTGCAAAGTTCGGGGGGACCCTCTTCCTCCTTCTCTCCAGCTCCCACCTTTTATTCCAGAATGCATCTCTTATTTATTCACGTACAATAGGCATTTCGTTCTACTTTCTTTCCCCTTCCGTTGCCTTTCGTTTTCAGGGCTCGATGGTAGAGCCTCCTCTGTCTGGTGCAGTCTAGATGGGTTGGATGAACATTCCCATCATCCCCCTCCCCATTTAGAGCTGGCTGGGGGGAGGGCGTTCTGAGCGTTGTTTCCTAACATATCCAGAAGATGCTGAATCGGAGGAAGTGGGGATAGTTAAAAACTCTGTTGGTCCCTTCCTTGCCTGGAAACCCAGTCCCCTTACTTGAAATGTTACCGATGACTCATGATGGGCACTGTAGTCACGACGAGGTTGAGTTTATGGTCAGGGGACACAGACGTCTCCAGATCAGAACCTTGATTTAAGAAGAAAATTAAGGAACCGTATTTCATAGAGGCCATTGCTTGCAGAGGTTAAAAACCAAACTTTTAATCTGAATTAGAGGCAACGGCTTACACAGGACGCCTGTGTCAGCCAAAAGCATGCCAAGAATCCTTTTAAAAGAACTACCGGTTTGTTAGGGCGTCCGCTGGGGTGGAGTGGAGGCCACTTCCCGTAAGGCCCGCTGTTTACCTTTCCGCTTCTTGCAAAAAAATGCAGGCAGTCATGCCGATCTGGGTCAAGGGAGCCCTTCTGGCGGTTTTCATCTCCGCCAGAAGCAGGTCTTTTTAAAGCTAATGGGCCTTGATGGTCCTTCAGGGCCAAGCCGCTGGGAAGACGATGCAACAGAAGACCCATCGCTGTTCTTGCCGGGAAAAGATCGCCCGCCGCAGCTTCGAGGCAGAGACCATCGCCACTTGAGTCAACTCAAAATGTTGAGTCAACTCAAAATGTTGAGTCAACTCAAAAGTTTCTTGAGTGGCTGTCTCGGTTCCTGGTCACCCCGGAGGTGCTTTGAGAACATTCGTATCTTATAGGCTTTAAAGTCCGGCTGTACAGCAGTGAGATTTCCCTTGTTTTTGGCCTGCTCAAGTGCTCTGTGTTACTTCAAAGCCTGCTACCCCAACCTGGATGGTTTTCATAGGAGGCTCCCTCGATCCTGCCTCTTCCTCTTTATGCATCTCCACTATGGTCTGCTCCGACGACCATCGGGTCTCGGCAGAAGCGCTTCCCTCCCTCCATCACTGGTATGTGGTCTTTCCTTAGCAAAGGGTGCAGGAGAAGGTGGAGGTTGCAACTGGAAATCTTCTGCATGCAACCCCATCGAGCCGTCCCCTCCAATTCCGTCGGATCGTCTGCCTTATTGGTTCTCACCGTTTTCTCCAGGAAAGCCTCTTCACCGTGAACGGCATCCTTTGGCTTCGGCTTCCTCTGTGGATTCTGTGGCTGCAGACGGGGGGCAGAAAAGGTGGTCTCCATTCATTTTGAAAGGATTGACCGAGGTTCGCACTGGATAAATTTCCTCCCCTCCTTCCTCCAGTTCGCTTTAAGCTCTGTTTTGGCTGGCCGTCCCTTCCTTCCTCCGCGTTGACAACAGCTTGGGCTTAAAGCAGATTTGATGATGGGTTTAAGGGGGGGATATTGGGATCATCGCTGTGGCTGGGTGCCTCTGGTCCAGGCAAAGGGCTATATTTAGAGCTGAGCACCATGTCTCCGTTGGAAGAAGGACTGACCCACGTCCTCCGTCCAGGAGAGGTTTGACCCTTGCCGGGAAAGTCAGAGGCTCGCCCCGTTCCCCAGGACCCAAACCGGAATTTAATTTGGACGGCGGTTTGGATAATAAAGAAAAGGTCTGGCTTTTCTTTGAATGCCAGGGTTCGGGATGGAGCAACTCAGGCAACATCTCAGGGCATCAAAATTCACAGGGCAGCGAAATCTAGAGGAGAATTGACGGGCGAATCTTGGGGAAATAAAGACCGACCCCCTCCTGGCCTTATTCACTTTCCTTGCGTCTCAAACCCTACATGTTTTCTGGACTTCATCGTTTTACGGAGATACAGGCTTCGAAGGGCACCCCATCAACATTCATTTTATTCCTCTCCTGCTCCCATCGTTCCGTTCTTCCAGAACCACCGTCTATTTCGCTTTTCACTTTAAAATAGGTCCGTGTCCCTTGTTCCAGGCAGCAAATCCTCGTACGTGTAGAGAATAAATAAGCATTCCGGCTTAAACAACAACAACAACAACCCACGAAATTACAAATCTAACGTTTAGGCGCAGGCCAAAACATTATCATCTCACGTAATTGGTAGGCCGTAGGCTAGAAATAATTATAGGAAGCCGCACGGAGCCTCGAACACAAAGGCCAGGAAAGCTATTGTTTGGGGAAGGTGGTCACTGGCTGGACGTCTGAAGGATGATGGCACGCCCCATTGCCCCAGCCAGGCAGGGCAGGGTGGACAGGCAGGCAGATCTCCGTTAGAATTAAGTGACTTGACTCAGGTTCTCCCCCCCATGATTCGAACTCGACTCCCTTTTTTTCTGGGGGACTTGGGACTTGGTTCCGAAGACCCGGACTCTAATTTGGGACTTGGATTTCAAAATGTGCCAACTTCCCCTGCTAAATGGACGTCATACCCCCCAATTTAGCATTGTCTGGGCTAGGCTGGCACCACTGTTTCGGTCTTGGGTCCCTTCCCAGCCCTTTTGGGTGGATAGGGCCCTTCTGCCTGCAAAGCACGTGCTTCACGGCTGCCTGGAAGAGGCCCTAAGAAGAACTCCAAAAATAATACCTGCAAGGTAACACACCTGGTTACCACCTGGCCGAAATTCCGTTATTCGAGGCTTTAAAAAAAGGAAGGGGAGTGGGAGTCAAAGAGAGGTGCATTCTGCATATGCTCAGAGGCTTCTAACATTGTGGTAAAGAAAAAAAGGGGGGCATTGCTTGTAGGGAACAGCAAATTCATCCACTTTGCTTTGCATCTGGCATGCTTTGGACCGGAGAGGGCAGACGGCGGCCGAGGATGATGGCTGCTCTTGGTTTAGCTCCCCAGAGTAGACTTTGGTCAAATAAATAAATAAAGGAATGTATAAATTCTAACTTGCTCCCCTTCCCTTCCAGCGGAAGACCATGAAGCCCGTTTCATGCCTCCTCCTGGCGACCCTTTTGAGAGCGGTGGTATCGCAAGCGGCCGAGGAACCGGACACTTACACGGTAAATGCCCTGGCTCCAAATAAGCTTTCTCGCGGACTGGAACGGGAGTTATGGGGCAGGAAAGGATCAAGGTGGGGGGAAAAAGCCAGGCAGGTACTTTTTGGAAGGAGAAAAAGGGGGTTGTCGTCGAACTCTGCCAACTGGGGGAAATCGGTGCCGAAGCCTTCGCACAGCTCCAGAATCATCCCCTGTCTTGATCTCAGGATGGTCACTACTTTTGAAAAGGCGCCTGCCTCGCACGGTTGTGATGAGCGGGGCTCAATTGGAACCCGGGAAGGCGAAGAGCAGAAAGCCATGTTTTCTTGCCTCGGGTTTCTTGAAAGACTGGACATCGGTCCGGAAAACGCCACAGAATGGTTGCGGTGTGGAACGCTTCTGTTCAGCAGCTTCTGTTCCGGCCACTCCCTGGCTTGTGAATTTGCTCGAGATACAGTGGTGCCTCGCTAGACGATGACAATCCGTTCCACTGAAATCGCTGTTTAGCGATAGCATCGTTTAGCGAAAAGCATTTCCCCATTGGAATGCATTGAACCCTGTTTAATGCCTTCCAATGGGGAAGAATCATCGTTGTCTAGCGAAGATTGGTTATAGGAAAGCCGCTTTGCGAACCGCCGATCAGCTCTTTAAATCGCTGTCTAGCGCAGCTTAGGTCCCGAAAACACCTGTTTGTGAGCATGGAGGGAGCTGTCAAAATCGTCGTCTAGCGAAAATCGGTTTGCGAAGCACGGACCAAACATTGTCCAGCGAAATTCCCCCATAGGAATCACTGTTTTGCGAATCGCTATAGCGATCGCAAAAAGTCAGTGTCTAGCAAAAAAACCTGTCATGCGGGGTAATTGTCTAGCGAGGCACCACTGTAAATTAAAAGAGACGAGCCAGCAGCGATGCTCAAAAGGAATCCTAGACACTGTACGGTACAAGGGACTTTGGGAGTCCCCGAGTTCAAGGTCTCCCCCAAGGAAATGTTTGATGCCAGTCTAAATGTGGGCAGGGCTTGCTGCCCAAACCTGTTTTAAGGACTCTTTTAAGGTGCCGTCCAGCTCCGTTAAGCCCCGCATGGCCTGGTCTCTGGATCCTGGCCGGAGCTGAGCAAAGCTTTCCGATACGGTGTTTCGCGCATGATCACGTTTGGGCTCAGAGCACGTCTCTGGCGGTCCTGCGCTCTACGTAGGCGCCATGAAGGCAGTATCTCTGAGCGCGGGGCGTGTAGAGCATCAGGGAGGCTGCTGACGAGTCCAGAGAAATGGACGGTTCCTGGAAAGTGTTTTGTCTTCCAGGAATGCACCGACGGTTACCAGTGGGACGCTGAGAGCCAACACTGCAAAGGTAAAGACCTCCGTGAAGCCATTGGCCACTGTAGAAACTTTGGCTCCTTGTTGTCGTCCTTAATTCATTCTCGACCCGTGTATCTGTTTCTGGGCCCAATCGTAAAACATTTTCCAACTTTCCTTAATATAATCTCGAGTTCTCATGTCGTGTCTCTGATAAACTATCCATTTCTGCAATCGCTAATACCGTTCCCATGCATTTCAGTGCGAAATGGTACTTCGACTTACGAACTTTTCGAGGTACGAACGTCCTTCCAGAATGGATTAAATTCGTAAGTCGAGGGCCCACTGTAGTTTTTTTTTAAAAATCACTCCTCTTTCTTTGGAATTTCCTGCATTTCCCACCTCTGGGCCCAGATCAGCCTTGCCGCTGTGAATTAGGTGCAATGGCATATATTTCATTTTGTCTTTTTTTGGCTCCTTGAGGCCCATCGTGGCCTGGCTTTACCTGGGAAAGATGGTTAGAGGAGAAGGCTGCAGGCCAGATGTGGCCCATCAGGACGCCAACAGATGTGCATTCCCAGCCCTGTCGGGTCCGTTTGTTGACCTACCAGCCTTCCTCGGGGCTAAATCCTGAAGGAATCGCAGTGATGAGGATAAATATATTAAAAGACCCCAAACCGTTCTGCCGTTCTCCTCAGATGTGAACGAATGCGAGACCATTCCTCATGCCTGCAAAGGGGAGATGAAGTGCATCAACCATTACGGAGGGTACCTCTGCCTGCCCCGCTCGGCCTCCGTGATCAACGACGTGAACTCGGAAAGGGCTTCTCCCCCCAGCCCGGCGCTGAGGCGGCCCCCACATGCCATCCCCCTGCAGAACACCTGCCCTCAGGGCTACGAGCCAGACCGACTGGGGTCCTGTTTGGGTGAGTGGGGGCCGGAGGATGGGAAGCCTTTCCAGGTGTGGGTCTTAGCTCCGGTGTGTGTCTGTGTGTGGGGGCTGGAATACAGTGGTACCTCGCTTAACGATTGCTTCGTACAACGAAAAATACACTTAACAATGGCTTTTTCGGAGCAATCTTGTGCTTCACTTAACGATTTTCCCTATGGGCGATGTTCGCTTAACGATTTCGGGACCATGCTTCACTTAACGATGACAGTTTTAGGTCCCCTTGTTTCACTTAACGTTTTTTTTACAGCCCCGTTTTTGCTATTTTTAAAATATTCTAAAATGTTTAAAAAATGTTGAAAATGCTTGGAATCATTAGTGCACCTAATAAAACCTTCGTTAACTTAATTTGGCTTTGTTCTGAGTCTTTTTGAATTTTTTGTAAATTTTCCCCCCCATTGAAATAGGCTTCAAGGCATTTCAATGGGTTTCGCTTAACGTTTTTTCCTATGGGGATTTTCGCTTAAGGATGGTAATCCGTTCCAATTGGAACAGATTATCTGGTTTTCAATGCATCTCTATGGGAAATGGTGTTTCGCTTAACGATGTTTTCACATAGCGATTTTTTTTTAACCAATTAAAATCGTTAAGCGAGGCACCACTGTATATCAAAGAACTGGGGTGTTTATTCCACACAGACGTTGACGAATGCGAGTACGATTTGCATGACTGCCAGCCGAGCCAAGAGTGCATCAACACGGCCGGCGGCTTCCACTGCCAGTGCCCGGATGGCTATCGGAAGATCGGCACCGAATGTGTAGGTGAGTCATTGAGCCGAATGGGATGTGGTTTTCGTAGAGTTATAGAAAGGGAGAAAGAAGGAGAAGATCCTGGAAACCCAGCTTTCTGGAGAGATGGTTCCTTAGCCGCTTTGCCAAAGTTTTCTGAAGGGAGAGACTGTCACCCTTCTTCTTGAAACAGAATTAAATTCACTTAAATTCAGCTCCTTAAATCTAGTCTTGCCCAATGGTCCCTCGGGTGTTTGGAGCTACCACATCTTCTCCAGGCTAAATAAGTGGGTTTCCTTCCACCATTTTCTTGTATCGCTTGCTTGCTTTTTGCCCGGACATCTCTCAACCACACAACAGCTTTCCAAGGAGCAACGGATAAAATTCGATCAATCTATTTGCCGCCTAGGACAGTCAAAACGGTCAACATGCGAATGAAGACCGTCGTTGGGCACCACCAAAGAGAAACAAGCTAATTTGTAATTTTTGGAACTATGAAACTTGATGGGAGGATCATAAAAGGCCCTTTATTTCTTAAGGCAGCTGCTTCGAATTGCAAAGCTCCCCTCTCATCAGTTAAACTTTCCTTCTCTGAAACGATTGCCGTTTATGCTCCTTAAAAGTGCAGAATCCTGGATAGGAATCCATACCCCTTTCAGAGACGGTACTCCATTTTTGATAGTGGGGTGTGACTTATCTTGAACCACCTGCAGAATTAAACCAAGTGGGCCTCCATCGGTTCAGTCTGAGTTTCTCTGGACACCATTAAATTAGCAAAGTGTCGGTCTTCACATAGGTACCTATTTTTCCGTGTATAAGACGCCCCCATGTATAAGACGCCCTCCACTTTTCTAACCCAAAATTAAGAAATCTAAGTGGGGATTAGCAAGTGTGGGGGGAAAAGGGATCAAAGCGCTGCAGGATCGCTTTGATCCCTGCTTTCCCCTCCACTTCTGTTTGTTCTCGCCTCAGCTTACTTCTGTGTATAAGACGACCCTCAATTTTTAGTCTAAAAGTTTTAGACAAAAGTATAGTCTTATACACTGAAAAATATGGTACCTATTTCCACACTGTAATTACTAGAACAGGGCACCAGAGGGGACCAGAGACGGTGCCCTATATTGGGGAACTAGAGACTTCAATTTTCTACAGGGCTTTAGGGGGGGCATGGAAAGGCTTGAAACTCTGACCCCCATGGATACTGCCGTCCGGCTCTAAACGTTTTGTGCATGCTCAGAAACACAGCTGCAATTTCTCCTCCCTTCCTTCTTCCAGACATCGACGAGTGTCGGTATCGTTATTGTCAGCATCGCTGCGTCAACTCCCCCGGCTCGTTCTCCTGCCAGTGCGAACCAGGCTTCCAGCTGGCCAGCAACAACCGCTCGTGCGTGGGTGAGGAGCAATGCCTGGCCTCGCTCTTCCCTGTCCTGCCGAAGGGCCCACGTAGCCCACGGCGTGGTCTCTGATCCTTAGCGTTTCCCCTCTGTGCCGTTTGCTCTCCGCGGTGGTGGAGTCCGTGCTTTGCCGGCTGAGCCAGCAGTATAGTCTCCCGGCTTTCTCCCGGTGTAAGGATCAGAGAGCAGGTCGGAGGAGAAGGAGAGCCCTCTTGGGTCCCCCCTTCCCCTTCAGGTTCATCTTGGGCTAGGGTTGTTGTTGTTGTTTAGTCGTTAAGTTGTGTCCGACTCTTTGTGACCTCGCGGACCAGAGGTTTAGCTCACATCCTCTCCTCCTTTGGTGATGAGAAATACTTGAGTGATTGCCGACCCAACGCTTCCATCTTTGCCGACCGTTGTTTGTTTGCTGTTGATCTGTTCGGTTGGTGGTTGCTAGTAGGTGTGAAGGAAAGAGAGAGGGGTTTTTTTTAACAGTAGCTTGAAATGGCAAACCCAATCCCTGTCATTTCAAACAACTGTAATAAGTTTTTTTTCCTCCCGCAAATGTCTCAGAGCAAGTTATTGAGACCGGAAGCGCCAGATCACGAGAAAAAGGGGTAGACTCTCTGGGGAACTGGCCGCTATTTGCGTGTCTCTGTCCCGGATAGCAAAAGGCTTTTTTAAAACCAGAAATTCAAAACTCTGCAACGGAAATCTGGGAATTAAAGTCCTAGAAGACACATCTGTGCACCCTTAGAAAAAAAATCAGTCCATTCCCTGAAGGCAGCCCACCTCCTCTTTCGAATCACATCCTTTCCAACCTCCCACAGATGTGAATGAGTGTGAGATGGGGGCCCCGTGCGAGCAACGCTGCTTCAACACCTACGGGACATTCATTTGTCGCTGCAACCAGGGCTACGAGCTGGACCACGATGGCTTTACCTGCAGAGGTAAGAGGTGATTCCACCCCATTTACCTCCACCTCTTCTCCCTTGGCTGATCTCTCAGGTGAGGCTCCCACCCTTACCTGTCCGCCCAGCCCTGCCACCTCATCCTTTCCAGAGATGGCTTGCCATTTTCTATTAGGCTTTGGGCTGCTTTATTTTCAATTTATATTTCAGTTTTTATATTTACAGTGGTGCCTCGCTAGACAGTTACCCCGCATGACAGTTCTTTCGCTAGACATCGACTTTTTGCGCTCGCTATAGCGATTCGCAAAACAGCGATTCCTATGGGGGAATTTCTCTGGACAATGTTTGGTCCCTGCTTCGCAAACCCATTTTCGCTAGACGGCGATTTTGACAGCTCCCTCCGCGCTCGCAAAACGGGTGTTTTCGGGACCTAAGCTTCGCAAGACAGCAATTTAAACAGCTGATCGGCGGTTCGCAAAGCGGCTTTCCTATGGCCGATCTTCGCTAGACAATGACAATTCTTCCCCATTGGAATGCATTAAACAGATTTCAATGCATTCCAATGGGGAAAATGCTTTTCGCTAGATGATGATTTCGCTAAACAGCGATTTCAGTGGAACAGATTATCATCGTCTAGCGAGGGACCACTGTATATTTCAATTGATTGTTATTTTTTTTCCTTACTGGGAAAGAATTGCAGCTTGCAGCCGGGAAGGAGGGGGGCCTGACCACCACAGGTGGGCAAAGGGCAGCCTGGGGGCACCCCAAGACTGTTTGGCAACCCCCTGATGCCACTCTCACACACACACACACACACACACACAAGGAGATGTAAGGTGTGCTGTCCATCCTAAGTGCCTTTAAGAATGGCAGGTAATCTTTAGAAAAGGTTTGCAGGGATCCTCCCCCCCCCAAAAAAACGGGAACACCGTTCATGCTTAAAAAGCAAAGGGTTTCTCCTCCCCCCCTTTAAAAATTCCAGCAATTTTTGGTTTTAATTTCCCTTCGTTGTTTGCATATAGGGGGTAATTACCCAGGTAATTTTTGGTTTACAAATGAAAATCCATTGAAAACAATGCCTCGGTTTACAAATTTGTATTTTACAAATTCAAAGCAGGTTTCCAGTGCCATCCCCGTGCAGGTTTACAAATTTTGCAGGTTTATAGTGCCATCCCCGTGCATGCATTTCCTACGGGAAACCGTGTTTCAGTTTGCGAATTTTCCCCCCATTACGAAATGTCCCAGAGAATGCATGAAATTCGTAAACCGAGGCACGCCTGTATTGCCTGGCTTCCACCATCTGAGTCTGTGAACGTATATAGGTAGCAACGAGCCGTCAGTTGCAACTGAGTCAGGGAGAGGCCGTTACCTCAGGCATCCCATTTTGAGGGGGTCATGAAAAGGCAGGGAGTGGTCATAATGATTTAACTTGCTTTGACTGAGCAGAAATTGAGTGTCCCTTTCCACCAGCATCATTTACTAAATCACCACAAGTTGCAAAATTAGAGCAGGCGTTTCCTATTGGAAGGCCGGGCAGTTAACGTGAGGCAGGCAACGCCGACACTGACACCTCAGAATTATAGAGTCCTAGAATAATGGAGTTCGAAGAGAACGATAAGGCCACTGAGTCCAAGGCAAGAATCCCAAGTCATCGTACAGTGGTGCCTCGCTTAACGATTTTAATTGGTTAAAAAAAATCGCTATGTGAAAACTTCATTAAGCGAAACACCATTTCCCGTAGAGATGCATTGAAAACTGGATAATCCGTTGCAATTGGAACGGAATACCATCCTTAAGCAAAAATCCCCATAGGAAAAAACATTAAGCGAAACCCATTGAAATGTATTGAAGCCTATTTCAATGGGGGGAAAAATTCACAAAAAAATTCAAAAAGACTCAGAACAAAGCCAAATTAAGTTAATGAAGGTTTTATTAGGTGCACTAACGATTCCAAGCATTTTAAACATTTTTTAATCATTTTATAATATTTTTAAAATAGCGAAAACGGGGCTGTAAAAAAAACGTTAAGCGAAACAAGGGGACCTAAAAGTGTCATCGTTAAGCGAAGCATGGTCCCGAAATCGTTAAGCGAAAATCGCCCATAGGGAAAATCGTTAAGTGAAGTGCAAGATTGCTCCGAAAAAGCCATCGTTAAGTGAATTTTTCATTGTACGAAGCAATCATTAAGCGAGGCACCACTGTATATCTCCGACAGATGGTGGTCTAGCTTTCCCTTGAAATGCCTCCAGCGCTGGAGCGCTCCCCACTTCCCGAGGTCACTGGTTCCACCGCCGTGCGGCTCTTAACGGTTAAGAAGTTTTTCCTGTTCTCTAACCGAAATCTGGTTCCTTGTCACTTTGATTGTGCATCCTCCATTCTGGGATGACCGAGGATAGATCCTGCCCCTCCTCTGTACGGCCGCCTTTCAAGGATTTGGAAAGGGCTCTCCTCTCCCCCCTCCGTCTTCTTTTCTCAAGGCTAAACCTGCCTGGTTTCTTTCAGTCTTTCCCTCTCTCAGCGCTTGAATGAAATCCCCTTTATTTCTTTCTCCAGATATTGATGAGTGTAGCTACTCCACGTATTTGTGCCAGTATCAGTGTGAGAACGAGCCGGGATATTTCTCCTGCACCTGTCCTCAGGGGTACCAGCAGTTGAGCACCCGTCTCTGCCAAGGTAAATGCGACAACCCTCTTCTTTATCTTGGGAAGGATTTATGTCTTCGTTATCCCTCGCGTGGTTTTGAGCCCATCTTTCTTCTCCTGAGCTGAAGGCTCGCCTCCACACCTGATCCTTGCAACAAGCCTACGAGTTCCATCAGGCTGAAAGGGAGGTGCCAAAAGTTGCCCAGTGAGTTTGATGCCTGGACCAGGCCTCGAACCCGGATCTCCCAGGCTTCACACCAATTCTCTCGCCATCGTACTGCATGGGTTTCCTTATGGAGGAGGAGCACTGGCCAAAGAGCTAGGAGGGTGGTAACCTACAAACTAGGGTTGTTAGGATAACTCAACACACCAAAGGCATCTGTAATCTTATGATGTTTTACACAGACACACACACACACACACACACCGCATTTTTCCATGTATAAGACGCCCCCATGTATAAGACCCCCCCCCCACACTTTTCTACCCAAAATTAAGAAAGCTAAGTGGGGCTTAGCAAGTGCAGGGGGAAAGGGATCAAAAGCGCTGCAGGATCGCTTTGATCCCTGCTTTCCCCTCCACTTGTTTTTGTTCTCTCCTCAGCTTACTTCCGTGTATAAGACGATCCTCAATTTTTAGTCTAAAGGTTTTAGACAAAAGTATAGTCTCATGCACAGAAAAATGTGGTATTTGTTTTAAACGTACCCAGAAGGTGGTCAGAATAGCATTAGAGAAAAACACAAAAAAATTGGTAAGATTGCAAAAGAGGATAGCTATCAGAGCTAGCATTTTGCGGTAACAGTACTTAAAAAGAAACGTCCTAGAAGCCTTGAGCTTTTTATCGGGGTACATTTCCACACATGCAGACCCCACTCCAAGGAGGACGAGGTGCGTGGTTTGGGGTAAAATAGCTTCCGGCCTTTGTGAAATCTCCTTGAGGTTTTGATTCAGGCTCGCTCTACGCTTTGGCAGATTTGAGCCCCCTCGCCACTTCCCTCCTTCGCCGGACGAAGTGAGATGCCCCCACCCCCACCAGCGTGCCTTATACCCAGAGTAATCTAGCCGGCTTCCTCTGCATGGGGAGGGCATCTTATCCCATTACCCACGTTGAAGTCATGGAAAAGCGCCACGGGGAGAGATACGTTTATCCCTGGCCTCAGGCAGCGAAATGTCTTGGGTTGGCCGCTATCGTGGCTCGAGGGCCTGTCACGGACGGGTGCTTGCTTTTCCGTGTACACCACTGGAGAAAATGTGCATGCGTTTCCAATCAGACAGGGGAAAAAACAAAGAGATTGTGTCTGATCGCACTGGAAAGGGTTGCTTCTCCGGGAGTGATATCCCTTTAAAGCAGGGATATTGGCAAATCTTTGGGTCTGAGTTCGAATTTTTGGTACCAAGTCCCAAGGCCATGCAGGAATTACTCCAGCCTGCTCATCCACACACCCCCAAAAAAGAGTCTCCTGGCTGCTGAACCAAAAAAAGTCTAGACTGCGCACAGATTTGGGTCGGGCGGGTTTGCGGTCTCCCCTACATCATGGGTTTCCCCAGAAAAATATCCAAAACCGGAATGTGCCACGAGCAGTCCCAAAGGCCACGGTCTCTTTGCTTCCCAGGCTCTCCCTAATCAACTTATTATTATTATTATTGCCCTTCCAGACATTAACGAGTGCGAGGCCAGGACCCACCCATGCACCGATTCTCAGAACTGCGTCAACTTCCACGGGGAATACCGCTGTGTCGAGAAAAACCGCTGCCAGGAGCCCTACGTGCAAATGTCTGAAAAGTAAGGACAGGAAACTTGTGGCTTCCTTTGCAGTCAATCCCTCTCAAGTTTGCTTTTCCTCTTTTCCTGCTGCCGTCCACCTTCCTGGCTTTATTGCCTTCTCCAGAGAGTCTTGCTTCCTCCTGACGTTTGCCCAGATCTGTCCTTTTTTGTTTCCAAAGAGAGTTGAATGTGGACGGCTAAAAATAATTTTATTCCATAGCCAAGACCGAGAAATAGACTTGTGTATTTCTTCAGCAAGATGCCTGGCCCTTCCTAGTCGAATTTCAAAGCCTCCTTTGGAATAGACACTGCAGGAAACCCTCCACCAAATTCACCCGTTTTTAACGTCTTTATCCCCACCATAGCCGCTGCCTTTGTCCAGCCACGAACCCGCTTTGCCGAGACAAGCCGTCCTCCGTCGTCCACCGCTATATGAGCATCACAGCCGACCGGACGGTGCCCTCTGACATCTTCCAGATTCAGGCCACCAGCCTCTACCCCGGTGCCTACAACACCTTCCAGATCCGCTCCGGCAACGAGCAAGGAGAATTTTACATACGGGTAAGGCTGCTTCCTTGTAAGTCCTAAAAGGAAACTTTATGGAGGGGGTTGACGGTTAAGATCTCGTCATCACGAGGGGCGGAGTATTCTGTCCCGCGCCAGAGATGCTCCGTCTCCAAATCTGGGAAATAGCGATTGAGCTCAACATGCCTGGAGCATCTGGCTGGCTATGGGTGGGATTCAGGTGGCAGGACTAGAGCGCCTTTTGATGGTTTTTATCGTCGTTAGGCATCCTTCAGTCTCGAGAGACGATGGTAACATGCTCTGTAAGGAGGACTTGGAACAGCGTCTAGTGTGGCTCAGAAGGCCAATTCGAGAGTGACCGTCCCTTCCACACGGAAGACAACCACAATCTGTCCCCTTTCCAGCTCCCTGATTTTGTTGCTTTCAGGACTGCCTCTTGGCCTCAGCCTGCTGGACAAGGGTCTCTTCAAATTGGGAGAGGCCGTGATGCAACCCCTGCCTCCAGGCTGAACGCTCAGAGGTCAGGGTTTCCCATCTGTTGAGGTCCGTTCCTAAGGCCTTCAGATCCCACTTGCAGATCTCCTTGTATTGCAGCTGTGGTCTCCCCCTGGGGCGATTTCCCTGCGCTCATTATACAGTGGTGCCTCGAATAGCGAGCGCCTCTATTAACGAAAAAACCGAATAGCGATGTGGTTTTCGGAGTATTTTTTCACTTTGAATAGCGATTTTTCCTATGGGCAATTATCGAATAGCGATCTTTTTTCCCCCATTGAGATGCATCGAATAGGTTTCAATGCATTTCAATTGGGGAACCTCGGTTCGTGTTCACTATTTTTAAAGGGTTAAAAGTCAAAGTTTCCTGTTTGAAATGTTTGAGATCGTAAAGTGCACTGAATAAACCCTGTGTTAATGCAATTTGACCTTGTTCTGACTCTTTTTTTAATTTGTTGTTGATTTTCCCCCCCATTGAGATGCATCGAATAGGTTTCAATGCATTTCAATGGGAAACCGCGTTTTGAATAGCGAAGAAATCCAATAGCGATGTTTTTTGCGGAATGCATTAACATCGCTATTCGAGGCAACGCTGTATCACAATAATAAGGAATGGCACTTCCTTATTCCAGAGCAGACGTCTAGCTGCAACGATCAGTAACGGGAATCATTCATAAGCAAGCCCAGAGGAATTGCTGGTGGGCTTTCCTTTAGCCACTGTATCACAATAATAAGGAATGGCGCTTCCTTATTCCAGAGCAGCAGCCTAGCTGCAAGGATCCGTAACGGGAATCATAAGCAAGCCTAGAGGAATTGCTGGTGGGCTTTCCTTTAGCTTTTGTGGGAACAGAAGGATGAGCGAGGGAGGCCTTTGGGTCTCATCCTGCAAAGCCCGTCTTTGTTCCAGGAGGGTGTCCCCTTGGAAAGACACAGGGCTTCTTTCTGGGCACATCCTGGTGGCTGTAGGCTGATGGTGTTCAAGGGGTGCAAGCCATTTTACTATCCCACTCGCAGCCCCTGACGAGTGGATGGAAAGAAGAGACATAGCAAACATCCGTTTCTTTGGGTTGTTGTTTTTTTTAAAGAGGAGTGACTGGCTAAAACCGTGTGGGGTGTGTGCTTTGAATTCTGTTTCCCCCCCCAACTCACTGAAGATCCGAGTGCCAGCCTTGTCAAGAGAATTGTAGTCCTGAACCGGAGGGGGACGGACGGGACACAGTGGATGGCTCTGAGGGCCACGGGTGGCATGTAGGCTGCTCATGAGAGACCAGCCCCATAATGCCCCACCTCCCTTTTCATACCCCCCGCTTTGCACCTTTTCCCCCCCTGCAGCAAATCAACAACATAAGCGCCATGCTTGTCTTGGCCCGATCCGTCACGGGACCCCGGGAGTTTGTGCTGGACTTGGAGATGGTCACCATGAACACGCTGATGAGTTACCGTTCCAGTTCGGTTCTCCGGCTCACCGTCTTCGTCGGAGCCCATCCGTTCTAACTGGGCGGAAGAAGGGAGGGTAAGTTTTTGGGAGTCCAGCTTCTCCTAGGGGGAAAAAAAGCTTTTGCAGAATTATGGAAGGAGGCTGGCTCCACGGGGGGATCTTTCTCGGCCAACCCTCCCTTGCTTGGCTCTCCGAACTCAAGTGAACGAAGGCTCACCATTGAGGCAAGCCTGTCCCCCTGCCAATCCTCTCTGGGTGCCAGGAAGGTTTTAAATCGGTGCCCTTCTTCCTTGTCATCTGAACCCACTGGTTGGGGGGGTCATGCGCCTCAAGTATGCGGGGGAACATTTTGCTCTGTCTTCCGCGTTCCCTATCTTCTCTTCTCCAGGCTAAACCTTCCTTCTCTCTCTCTCCATTGCAGAGAACATCTGCCAGGTATGGAGGGGTGCGGAAGGAATCGAGAGACGGGAGCCACCTCCTCCTCCCCCCGACTGCTGGGAAAAAGATGTGGGCTTCGCATGGGTCCCCCAAAACTTTCCTTAAACCGGCACGCCGACAGCCCCAAGCAAGACCTCTGCCCCCCCACCACCCACAGCTGCAGCCGTCATGGGACCACTGCCAAGCTATTTTTTTTCCCAGCAGAAGGATGAAAATCCCAAACACAGCGGGGACTTCTGAACCTCGAAGGCAGGATCCCACTTCTTCTGTCTTTCGGGTTTAAAAGAGAACAAGGCTGACGGAAATTAGTAAAACTTTTTTTTAAAGGAACTTTCACACGATGCAATTTTGTGTGTCTGTGTGTAGGACACATCTGGCGTAACCTCAGAGAGCCCTTTAAATGTCAGTTTATGAGGTTTCCTCTCCTCCCGGTAGCAAGAAAAGGGGAAACGTCGTCCCCATCCATCCTTCTGCACCATTTCAGGGCTACCTGTGAAGTTAGAAATTACAGGTTTGGCTCCCCCCACCTCTCCTTTTTTTTGATACTGGAGGTGTTCCCCTATCTCAGAAAGAAAACATTTAAGTCAAACAAGGAACAAGAAAACCTGCCCTCTGAGAGAAAACCCAGCAATTTTTGGGGCTCCCCTCCCTGGCTTGGCCCTCAAGAGAGGAGCCAAACTGGCTATAAACGGGTAATTTACGGGAATGTTCAAAGGAGAGACACCCTCTGTGTCCACACCCCTCTGCCGTGTGGTTAATTAGAAGCGGGCATCTAAAAACAGGAACAGCCCAAGACTCCAACCTTTCAAAAGGAAGGAAACAAAAATATTGACCTTCACATATTGCAAATTCTTCCAGTTACCATGCTGAGAGAAAATACTGCAGGCTGTTTTCTTTCCGCAGTTTTTTCTTTTCTTCCCTCCCTGTTGGAGAGTGTCACTTTGTTGTTTAGTCGTGAAGTCGTGTCCGACTCTTCGTGACCCCCAAGGACCAGAGCACACCAGGCCCTCCTGTCTTCCACTGCCTCCCGGAGTTGGGTCAAATTCATGTTGGTCCCTTCAATGACCCTGTCCGTCCATCTCATCATCCTGTCATCCCCTTCTCCTATTGCCTTCACACTTTCCCAACATCAGGGTCTTTTCAAGGGAGTCTTCTCATGAGGTGGCCAAAGGATTGGAGCCTCAGCTTCAGGATCTGTCCTTCCAGGGAGCACTCAGGGCTGATTTCCTTTAGAATTGATAGGTTTGTTCTCCTTGCAGTCCAGGGGACTCTCAAGAGTCTCCTCCAGCACCACAATTCAAAAGCATCCATTCTTCAGCTGTTCAGCCTTCTTTATGGTCCAGCTCTCACTTCCATACATTGTTACTGGAAAAACCATAGCTTTGACAATGCGGACCTTTGTCGGCAAGGTGAGGTCTCTACTTTTTAAGATGCTGTTGAGGTTTGTCATTTCTTTCCTCCCAACCTTGAACGGCCCGGCATCATTTCCATCTGGGGACAGAGGTGACCCGGGGCTTCCTAGAAGGGGTGGCCCCAAGGGATCAGATCCACAGCCTGCTTTGCTGTCTTCCATGGGGACCCCCCCCAGGAAGGCGTGAATGGCCCTCGGGACTCGGACAGGCTGCCCCCCCCCCTTGAACGGCCCGGCATCCCTTTCCTTTCTCTCTCTCTCGGCCCCACACCGCCATCTTCTCAACGGAAAACCTCCGCTCAGAGCACCCCTTAACCATTTTATTGGACGATCACAAGAACACGAGATTTTTGCATTTTAAAAAATAATAGTATTAATAATCAGGGACAACATTCAGCAAGAGCATTGGGCAAGCATCAAGGGACCCAAAAGATTCACTAGCCCATCTCTTCTAGTAGGAAAGGAAGGGGGGGCCCCAAATCCCCGTCTCCCTTCTGTCCTACCAACCCATTATTTTATACACCCTGCGTTCAGCTCTTCCTAGATGTCTACAGGCAGTCCAGGGATAAAACGCCGTTGGTATCATTGCCCCCAAACCCCCTTTTATGGGTTATATGCTGCCCACAGGGCAGGGTGTTGTGTTGTGTTGTGTGTGTGTGTGTGGTTGGTATCGTTGCCCCCAAATCCCCTTTTATGGGTTATATGCTGCTCACAGGGCAGGGTGTTTTGTTGTGTTGTGTGTGTTTGTGTGTGTCTGGGGAGGAGCAAGAACGCCAACCTAGCCCCTTTGAAAGGTTGGGGCAGGAAAGTGCATTGCGGCCGATAAGGCTAGATCCAAAGGTCCCCTTCCTTAGTCCGTGGGATTCACAACGGTTGCCCCCAAATCCCCTTTTATGGGTTATATGCTGCTCACAGGGCAGGGTGTTTTGTTGTGTTGTGTGTGTTTGTGTGTGTCTGGGGAGGAGCAAGAACGCCAACCTAGCCCCTTTGAAAGGTTGGGGCAGGAAAGTGCATTGCGGCCGATAAGGCTAGATCCAAAGGTCCCCTTCCTTAGTCCGTGGGATTCACAACGGGCCTTCTCGGAATCCAGGCGGAACGATTTCTCCTCCCACCTCTCCGTCTCTCGCACGGCGTTCCCTCGGGATTCACGGCAGAGGGCCGGGCGTGCAATACAGCTGGGCCAACGTTTTGCTCAAGACAGGACCGAGGTTTCTGCAAAGGAAGGAAAGCGAGGAGGGCAGAGGAAAGAAAGCCAGGAGGAGGTCCCCCGAGGGGGCAGCCGGCCAGGAGGTCTGAGAGCATCATGACCCGTCTTCGCCGCAAAGCAACCGGGCGCAGCAGGACAATGGCTAAACCAGTCCGTGGGTTGTCTGGAACTCACGAACCACAGTCTTTAGGGTCCCGGGTGGGGTGTTTACACGGGATGCCCTCCGCCACCAAGCCCCCCCTCGCCCACATTGAGTCATCAAGCTTCAAATCTGGAAGGGATCCAGGTGGTGGGGGTGGTTTTATGGACTGGAAACCTTCAGGCCCGCGACTTACCTCTGCAATGGGCCACATTTGATGTTACTCAAGAGGTGCTCCTGCTCCGGGCGAGACGGGCAAGCGGCGAAGGCAGCCAGCAGACTGAGGAAGGAGAGAAAGGATCGCGAAGGGCTTAGGGGCCAACACCGTGGCCCAGTTTCTAACCCACGCACGCAGGGACGCCTTGAGAAGCCACCGCTAGGTCGGACCACGTAGAGAAAATCCAGTTTCTACTGCAACGTCCAGAATTCTACAAAGGCCAAGGCTGGCTATTGGGGGGGGGAGGCGAGAGGGATCCTAGCTGGGACGTGAGAAGAACAGACCCACCTCCCGCGAAAGACGGTGATCCACTAAACCACAGGTACATCAGGACCCAAAGCTCTTGTCAGTTCAATTAAAACTAAAGATCTTGCAGGAGCTTCAAATCTGGAAGGGATCCAGGTGGTGGGGGTGGTTTTATGGACTGGAAACCTTCAGGCCCGCGACTTACCTCTGCAATGGGCCACATTTGATGTTACTCAAGAGGTGCTCCTGCTCCGGGCGAGACGGGCAAGCGGCGAAGGCAGCCAGCAGACTGAGGAAGGAGAGAAAGGATCGCGAAGGGCTTAGGGGCCAACACCGTGGCCCAGTTTCTAACCCACGCACGCAGGGACGCCTTGAGAAGCCACCGCTAGGTCGGACCACGGAGAGAAAATCCAGTTTCTACTGCAACGTCCAGAATTCTACAAAGGCCAAGGCTGGCTATTGGGGGGGGGAGGCGAGAGGGATCCTAGCTGGGACGTGGCAAGAACAGACCCACCTCCCACGAAAGACGGTGATCCACTAAACCACGGGTAGATCAGGACCCAAAGCCCTTGTCGGTTCAATTAAAACTAAAGATCTTGCAGGAGGACGGTCCAAATTACACCTTGGGGGGGGCGGTGGGAGGGTGGCTTTTTCACCTGTGCTGCAGGACCCTCCCCACTTTAGATCTCTCTCTACCTGGCCGGCGTCTTGAACCTCTCCAGGATGGCTGCTGCCTTCTCTCCGCGGATGCCCCCGATCTGCATGAGCTGGCGTGCAAACACGTCCCGCACGGTCTGGGCCTGAGAGGAGGAGGAGGAGAAAGAGGGACCTCAAAATTCGAGACGACGGGCTTTCTCATCCTGAAACGACATGCTCTTGCACCAGAAGAAAAGAGAAAATCAGCTCTCCTGGAAAAGGGTATCAAATTCTTTCAGAAATCAGCACTATTCCAGAAGAGGCAAAACCGTTTTGCTTTGGCCCGTCTTGCATTGAACCAGGGGGGTGGACTTAATGATCTCTGAGACCCCTTCGAACGGGGCAGTCCTGGCTATCCCGGTGAGGGCTGGAAGGAACTATTAAATGATGCCATTTGCAAACACAGAAGAGGGGAGTGTTTCCTGCCCAGCCGTCCTCGGCAGCATCGTCTGATTTGAGTCCCTCATTCAATTCCAATCCGCAATTCCATCTTAAAAGGGAAATAAATGTCAGATTCGGGAGCCACGATTCTACCTCTGGCTTCCTCCCTTCGGGGTTCACTCCGCCCCTCCCTGCTGAATAAATCGGCCGGAGGGACGAGTCCATCCACAGTCAGGGAACGTGGAAATTCCCTCGGGGCTTCGTGGCACGTGGGCCGGAAGAGCACGCAGAGAGGTGTGCTGATGAGACCCACGGATTTGGGATCCTCTCCCCACACTGGTTAAATCCAGCTTACGAGAGACCCCCATCAGCCAGCCAGATGTGGATGGACTCTCTCGCTTGTGTTTCCAGGCGCACCGGACAGAGCGTCCAAGCCAGGCTCGGGAGACCTGGGTTCGAATTCCCGCCTGGCGATGGGAACGCACCGGGTGTGGCAACACTTACCTACTTTTAAATACCTAATGGCTTCTTGGCTACCCTGCAAACACGGTTAAGGTTGCCAGGAGCTCAAAGCCGCTTGGCAGCAGGATAATCACAGAGGCCAGTACTGCCTGCTCTGACTGGCATCAGCTCTCCAAAGAGGAGTCTCTCCTCGCAAGGATCCCACCTAGGACTGCCTCTATGGGAAGTGTAGTCCATCCTACTCAGAGACAGTCCCGGTAGGACGTAGAACCCCGTTCTACAGAGTCCAGCTCTTCTGAATTCCAGGCCAAGGTAGCCTGCGCTGGCTGGCAGAGGCTCTCTAGCAAAGAAAGCTCCATTCTCCTACGGGCGACTTCCTTTTTCTAGAGGAGAGTCTATTGAACACTGAACTTAGAACCTTTGGGTGTTTCTGCAACCGAGCTATGCCTCTCCCCGTTTCCCCCCACATCAGAAGCATCCTCTGGGCTCCCTTCATCATCCACCTTGTTCTTGACGGCCCCTTCATTAAACTCGGCGAAGGTCAGGAGGCAGCAGGAGCCGTCACTCGACTGCAGGGGGCGCTCACGCTCCAATTCCTCCTTGGTAGCGCTCAGGAGCGTCCTGTCCTGGGGGGGGGGGGGAGAGAGAATAGAGCCTGGAAGTCATTGCCTACCTGGTGGCTACGGAGGTTTAAAGAGCATCCTTTGAGAACCACCCCTCCAGGCACGTTGGACCACAAACCCCATCATTCCCCCACCCTCATTAGCCTGCTGGACGTGGAGAGAAGGTAAAAAGAGAGAGAGAGAAGAGGAGAGAGGCTGGCCGAGGGGGAAGAAAGAGAAAAACGAAAGCCCCCCAAACCTGAAAGCCAGGTGACTTACAGATCATCTAGCCAAGGGAAGGTGGCCTCCAACACAGCAAAAATAAAAATAATAAAAATTAAAATAAAGTTCGCCTCTCTCCTACTATCTCTAGGATATTTTATTCCGATTTCCAAGTTAATCGGAAAAGCAGCTGACGCTAAGGTTTTGAAACACGCCGAGCGCAAAACACCATCATGGGCGAATGACAAAACTCCCAAAACTTCTTGCTTTTTTTTGTTGTTAAAACAAGCCTTCCAGGAACAAGCCCACTCTCCCGCTCGCTCCGAACTCACCCCATACAGTCTCGCCAGGTGACGCGTCATGAGGGTCAGGTAGGCAGCAGATTCCCGGAGGTCCCGTGTGCGTTTGACGAAGAAGCCGTCCACCACCTACCGTGTGTGGGAGAGAGACACGGACATTATCACAACAGCAGGAATACTGCCTGCCTGTTCCTCCCCATCCCCACATGGAGGGGCAGCTCTCCATGATCTGGCGATCCGCCTCCCTTCAGCTATGCTGAGATCGAAACAAGGTCCTGGCACCTTCAAGTTTTCTTCTTCCCAAATTTATCCGCCTTGCAACAGGATTAAGTCATCCAGGATAAGAGAGACCACAATTGGTGAACTCAATGGTGTACAGCGGTGCCTCGCTTAACGAGCGCACCGTTTAACGACGAATCCGCATAGCGACGTGTTTTTCGCGATCGCTAATGCAATCGCATTGCGACCACATTGCGACATTCTCAATGGCCGAAAATCGCATTGTGATGTTCTAAACACAGCTGATCGGCGGTTCCAAAATGGCTGCCGGATCAGCAAAATGGCCGCCCGCAGCATTTTCGCGCCCTGCCTTTGCTTACCAGGCAGCGAAAATGATGGCCGGATGGGGGAAATCTTCACTTACAGGTGAGTTTTCCCCCCATAGGAACGGATTAAACGGAGTTTAATGCGTTCCTATGGGGTTTCCCCCCCCGCATAGCGACGAATCCGGATAGCGACGTTAATCCTGGAACGGATTAATGTCGCTATGCGGGGCACCACTGTATTTACACCACCCTGCTGCAGTAGGTCTGATCCTTCTTTGGCGGCAGTGGCTGCATCTGACAAAATCCTAGGAATTCACCCCTGAGAGTGCCAAGCGCCTCACCAAACTATACACCCCAGAATTCCTTGGGACGGAGCCCAGCGGTTAAAAGGGTGTCGAAATGCTATACCTGGGATGCATAGATATAGCCTTCTGTCGAGTTTAGGGGCTGAGGAGGAAATGGATCCGGGTTCTCCATGAGTGCCAAGCCCAGCCCTAAAAACCACGCACTGGCTTCCAACTGGTCGGATTTAGCAACCGAGGCAGAAAGGGATACAAAGATGGGGATGACTGGTTGAGACTGGGAAGGATCAAGGGACTGGAAACCAAGCCCTCGGAGGAAAGACGGAAAGAACTGGGCAGGTTTAGCCTTGAGAAAAGAAGACGGAGAGGAGAGAGGAGAGCCCTTTTCAAATCCTTGAAAGGTAGTCCTACAGAGGAAGGGCAGGATCTGTTCTCTATCATCCCAGAGTGCAGGACACGCAACAATGGGCTCAAGCTACAGGAAGACAGATTTAGGCTGAATATCAGGAAAAACTTCTTAACTGTTAGAGCAGTACGACAACGGAACGCATGACCTCGGGAGGCGGCGAGCGCTCGAACGCTGGAGGCGTCTGAGAGAAAAATTGAACCACCCTCTGTCAGATCTTCTCTGATTGGTATTCTTGCCTTGAGCAGGGTGGAGAGAAAATTGAACCACCCTCTGTCAGATCTGCTCTGATTGGTATTCTTGCCTTGAGCAGGGGGGGTTGGACTCAATGGCCTTAAGAGGCCCCTTCCAGCTCCATTGTCCTATGACATGGCGGTCCTATAAGTCTACCTCGCTGGGCCTGAGACACACGGGCAGCCACTGTGGCGCCGTGGACAGAGGGATGGGTTGGCGTTCAGGAGGCCCGGGTTCAAATCCCCGCTCAGCCACGGAAACACAACAGAAGGAGACAGCACCAGCAAAACCACCCCTTAAATACCTCTCGCACCTTAAGCCGCTCCGTAAATACCCACACCATGACAAGATGGCTCTAAATCGCAGGCCACCTGAGGGCCACATAACCACCACCCCTGCCGGGGGGGGCGGGTGGGTCATACCTGGGTGTTGACAATCGCTTGTTGCAAAGTTTTTTCTGGCAGGCTGAGGTGTTGCCCGGACCCAGAATCTTCCACCAGGTAGATGGGGTGCCGGAGGCCACACTGTCGCAGACGGAACTGGGCGCGTGATGGAAAAGCAGGAGAGAAGACGGTTACTGTCCTTGTGTGCATGACAGATCCCATTTCGAATGTTTCGGGGTAATGTCCGGGTTCCCTCGAAAGCAGCCGTGCCCCGTAAAAGCTTTTCCTGGTGCTCTCCAAGCCACACCAGCCTGCAAACGGCCTTCCTACCGGCGGCCACATCTGGCTGGGCTGACCAGACTGGAGCGTTTATCGACGTACCCAGAGACAGCCAGGTTGCGGGAAGGTTGCTAAGCTAGGGTTATCAATTCCTCTGCCATATCCACCCCCTTTTTTTAAAAAGGAAAACCTCTTAGCCATTCTTAGAGGGGACTCTTTGAAACCGCGGAGGATAACCCACAAAGTCCCACCTTATTCATCTTTTCGATCAAAGGCCATATCGGCACCCTTGGGGGGGGGCTCCCCTTGACTGCCTTCCGGTGAAATAAAATAATCAGGAAGAGCAAAAATATTTTGACACCTTCAGAAACTCTGAGAAATGTGTTTTCTCCCCTCTTAAGCAAGCGCCTCAGTTCTAAAAATCAAACCTGAGAAGATGCCAGCTCAGGCATCTCCAGTTCTGATTTCTCTCTCCTTTTGACCCTGTTTTGTCTCTCTTTTTTTGTGACCGGTGCCATATAGGGCAGGCGCTGGGGGGGGGGGGGGAACTTGTTTTGTCTCTTGGTGACCGGTGCCATGTGGGGCAGGCGCTGGGGGGAGAAACTGGCCATAAAGCTTTTCCAAAACAGACTACCTCTTTTAAACGCCACTTTTCCTTGCTCCTCTCTTTCTTTCAACAGAAACTGCTTCCAAAAACATTGACCAGAATAACACATCCTTGTCGCATTTTAAAGACTACCTAGTTTTATCCGGGAACACTTGTAGCAAATAAGGCCGGCGAGTCTTTAAGACGCTTTGCCTTCTGGCTGCGGGAAGCCAGTTCCGTTACCACTGAAATCAAATACCGAATCCTTGATCCTATCAAACTATTCATCTTAGTTCAGGAATCTTAGCTCCTGCGTAACTCTTAACAAGGCATTCCAACCGCCCGGCACCTTCTGTTCACGAAAGCGGCCATCGATGATGCTGCTACACAGGTCCGGCATCCTTTTGCGTTCCACCACGTAATCCAGCACCAGCTCCTGAACGGCTGCGGGCTGTTGTTCTCCTGAGACGGAAGGGAAGGGAAGGGAGGAAGGCGTCAAGTCTGCACGAAACGAAGCGCCCTGCGTTCTGGAGGTCGTCGATGCCTCGCCAGGCACGGCTGGCGCTTCCTCACCCAATGCGAGACAACGTCTGCCACCGACGGCACTTCTTAAATACGCCAGCGCCTCTTCGAACAAAGACAAATTGGATTGTTGTGGGTTTTTCGGGCTCTTGTTCTGAAGGCTGTTCTTCCTAACGTTTCGCCCGTCTCTGTGGCCGGCCTCTTCGGAGGAGTCAGAACTCTGTCCGTGCTCTGGTGTGGTTTGTTCAGATCGTTGAGTGAACAAACTGCCCCAGAGCATGGACAGAGTTCCTACTCCAGTCCTCTGAAAGAGGCCGGCCACAGAGACGGGTGAAACGTCAGGAAGAACAACTTGCAGAAGACGAACAAAGAGCCCGAAAAACCCACAACCACCATCAGATCCCGGCCGTGAAAGCCTTCGTGAATACAAAGACAAGTTTCTAGCCCTCAATAAGGCAAGCCTTTCTTTTAAAGAAGCAACGCATTTCATCTTTTCACGGGGGGGAAGAAAGGGGTCGAAGGAGTTCCAACCACCAAATGGAAGCATCCGTGGAGCCTTTCCTTCCTCCCTTTCCCTCTGAGAGCAGGCACAAAGTGGGAGCAAGTATTGGGTGGGTGAGGAAGAATTATGACCAACAACAACACAACCTTGGGCTGCCAGCTACCTTCCAAAGCCTCTCTGAATTCGGGAATAAAGGCCGCAAAATGGCTTCAGGCTTTGTAGGACAGACAACCCCAAGATGAGCACAAGAGGAAGCCCCCCAATCTGCTACAGAAGCCCGTGGGGCCCAACGCCCAAATCTGCCCGCAGAAACGGTGATGGCGGAAGGCGGGCAGGCAGGGCTTCTCGACCCGACCGTCCCGTCTCCCTTTGCCCTCCCCCCCGAACGGACCGGAGCGACCTTCGCACCTGCAACCGGGCTGGCCCTTTTCCGGGCGACCCAGAGGAAGTCCCCCACGTGAAGCTTCCGGATGCTGAATGGCACGTCGTTGCGCTGGAGTTCTCTGACTAAGTCCTGCTTCCGGGATGTGGGGCCGCTGAAGGAAAAAAAAAAGGGAAGAGGTGTGTGTCTCTGTGTGTAGATATTTAGAATACATTTCCCTACGACCCCTTGGGGAGGTAGTTCTCAAGTAACAGTATGGGTTTCCAACCATTTTTTACTTTTTACTCTCCATCAGGCCTTTAACTGATACACCTGACATCCGGGTTTTATCTTGAAGGAGATTCTATACGGCTGGGTGGGTTTTTAATTTATTTATTTATGCATGTGTTGCTTCTGTTCCCTTAGATACGTCCCTGCTATTTTAAAACTGTATAGGCACACGCTCTTTAGTATGTATATGGTATTCAACTGGCTCTTAGAGGTAAAAGGTTCCCCCTTGACATTGAGTCCAGTCGTGTCTGACTCTAGGGTGCGGTGCTCATCCCCGTTTCCAAGCCGTAGAGCCAGCGTTTGTCCGAAGACAGTTTCCGTGGTCACGTGGCCAGCGTGACTAGACACGGAACGCTGTGACATTCCCACTGAGGTGGTACCTATTTATCAACTTGTATTTTTACATGCTTTCGAACAGCTAGGTTGGCAGGAGCTGGGACAAGCGACGAGCGCTCACTCCGTCACGTGAATTCAATCTTACGACGGCAGGTCTTCCGACCCTGCAGGACAGAGGCTTCTGTGATTTAACCCGCAGCGCCACCACGTCCCTGACCGGCTCTTATTGGGCCTTATTTTGTATTAACAGAACAACATGAAAAACAAGATTTACTGCTCTAAGACACTGGATGGATGGATGGATGGATGGATGGATGGATGGATGGATGGATGGATGGATGGATGGATGGATGGATGGATGGATGGTTTACCGATTAACACACACACACATAAGCAATTTTATATTTCAAAGACAGGGAAACTCTTGAGCCTCAGAAAGGAACCCATTTCAGGCATGCTTACCAGGGGCCGCTGGCTATGTTCCCTCTCCCCTTCTGGTGCTTGCCTGTACACCCGACGCACACCCTTGCCCACATGCCATTCCCGTATCATTGTGAGCTTCGCCACCGCCACTTACCCTGTGGTCTCAATAAAATCCACACAAAGAATAATTTCAAATTGTCCAGGATGAAAGATAAATTGAGGGTTATACAGTCCGGTCTGTGGCTCCCCCTGAAATGACCTGGAAAAGTAAACAGCATTATTAAGAGCAGGGAAATGAATGTAAACACACAAACGGCTGGGACCTATCAGGGACTCTATAGAATTAGATCTGTAAACCTTTAATCTATAGATTAATAATCATTGTCTGCCCATTCTGACTTATGGAGACCCCTTTTCGGGGTCTTCAAGGTAGAGAGGACTCAGAAATGGTTTACTATTCCCTTCTTCTGGCACGACCGTGCAGCTTGCCCAAAGCCACATAGGTTGGCTCTTCTTCCAGGTGGGGGAATCGAACACCCAACCTCTGGCTCTTCAGCCAGATAGCTAAACCACTGAGCTATCTGGCAAGCATTTATAGATTCTACAGTCCCCATAACCAGGTCGTGAATTCCACCATCTTGCTAACAGATTTCCTGCGTTTCCCCGCTGCCGCTGTTACACTTTTAAAGCACCCTTTAATTTTCCCCGTTTTGCAGAAGTCACTAAAATAGATTGAATTATTTTTTTTTCCAATACACAGTATGAGCCAACAGGCAGCAATTCCTCTTTTGCCATCTATTGAGGCCATACCTTGTAACTACAGAAGTAATTTTTTAAAAAAAATTACAGTTGCTTCCCGAAAGGAGTAAAGCGATCACGCGACAAGTTACACTTTTAAATGTAACTTATGTACAGTGGGGTCTCTACTTAAGAACTTAATCCGTATTGGAAGGTGGTTCTCAAGTTGAAAAGTTCTTATGTTGAATCTGCATTTCCCATAGGAATGCATTGAAAACCATTTAATCCGTATCTGCTCTTTTCCGACCATAGAAACTACAGTGGAACCTCTACTTAAGAACTTAATCCGTTTTGGAATGGTGTTCTTAAGTTGAAACTGGCAAGCATTTATAGATCTACAGTCCCCATAACCAGGTCGCGAATTCCACCATCTTGCTAACAAATTTCCTGCCTTTCCCTGCTGCCGCCATTACACTTTTAAAGCACCCTTTAATTTTCCGGCAAGCATTTATAGATTCTACAGTCCCCATAACCAGGTCGTGAATTCCACCATCTTGCTAACAGATTTCCTGCGTTTCCCCGCTGCCGCTGTTACACTTTTAAAGCACCCTTTAATTTTCCCCGTTTTGCAGAAGTCACTAAAATAGATTGAATTATTTTTTTTTCCAATACACAGTATGAGCCAACAGGCAGCAATTCCTCTTTTGCCATCTATTGAGGCCATACCTTGTAACTACAGAAGTGATTTTTAAAAAAAATTAGAGTTGCTTTTGAAAAGGAGTAAAGCGATCACGCGATAAGTTACACTTTTAAATGTAGCTTCCGTATTTATACCCGTGTCGTTGAAGAAATGGATGAATTGCAACCAACTTGTGTTGTCACGAAGTTATTTCCGGGCGCCTTATTTTGTGACTCCCGACTCCCAGGCTCTAAATTAAAGCTAATTCCCGGAGGATCGGGCTGGGAAGGACTACGAGCTATAAAGGCTCATCACTCTCTCTTTCCAGTTTCCTGAATACCAAATGCCATGGTAGTCACGTCCTGGGCTCTTACTGTGTAATAATAGGGTTTCTGGAGAAAATAATAATTCATTAAAAGCAACTCATTTGTAACTAAGTTCTTTGGGACCTTGGAGCCACGAAACTAACTTTGCCTTTCGTCTGAGCCTCCGGGAAGAAAGAAAAGCAGCAGGCGCAGAGAAAATAAAAGCTATTTACTTCGGGGCAGCATCCCTGTCCTCCTGCCTCCCATCATCCTCTCCTTCCAAAAGCAGTGGGAGCTCTCCGGTTCTAGGTGCCACAACTGAAGATGAGGCTGGTGTGCTAGGTTCTTCTACTTCCAAAGCGATCAGTTGCTGGGCTAAAGACACCCCGGCCTCCGTCAGAGAATACCTGGTGGGGCAAAGGAAGTGGGTTAGTGGTCCCTCCTCACCTCCACCGGATGCTTTCCCCCTTCTGTCTCACTCATAGGACGGCTGCTCCCGGCCTGTTCCACGAGGCCACGCAAGCCTGCAACGTGGCACCCTCCAGATGTTCGGGAGTGGTAGCCCAATCTACCTGGAAGGCGCCAGGTTAGGAGAGGTCCCTGAACTTAAGTGAGGCTCCCCCATGAGCACGAGGACCTCGGCACATCGGCACGCCCTATCCACGATCATGCAGCGTCCACGCTAGCCGTTCAGACAATAAACTTTTCGTGGCTCCGGTGGCTTTTTCTCTTCATCAGGACTCAAAAGCGCAGATGTTCACTGGGTCTCCGGCTGATCCAAAGCTGCCAGAAAGATGCCCACTGACGGGCTTCTTAGGCAGGCTTCAGACTTTCCAAAGGCTATTTTTCCCCATCTGCTGGCAGCCTAAGACCCTCAAATCATCATCATCGTGCTCTCGAGTCAACTCTGATTGATGGCAATCCTTTCCAGGGTTTTTCTAGGGAGAGAGCACTCAGAAATGGTTTGCCATTCCCTTCTCCTGGGGTGCCCTGGGCCTGTGCAGATTTCCCAAGGTTATAGAGGCTGGTTCTTCTCTTGGGAGACACAGCGAGGAATCGCATTTTCAACCTCCAGCTCCACAGCCAGACACGAAACTCACTGAGCTATCCAGCCCGCAGTGACACCAACGACAGCTTGGAAACTCAAGATCCTCTTCTGAGGACAAGAAGCAAACTGAGTGGTTCGAAGTCTTTCCAAATTGAAGTACGCCCCCCCCGTTGCTCCGAGTTCTCTTTGCGTCCAATTCTGCCCGCTATCGTTCAATGGAAGTCAGAATACCTATACGACGGACTGCAAATCAATCAGATCCACCTTTGCTCTCTCTGTGGCCTAAATCGGAACAAGTTCAGAGGGAGGGCGACAAGGAGGATCGGGGGGGCTGGAAAATAAGCCCTAGGAGGAAAGGCTGAAAGAACTGGGCAGGTTTAGCCTGGAGAAAAGAAAATTGAGGATAGTACTTTTCAAATACTTGAAAGGCTATCCTACCAAGGAGGGGCACACAGGCCTGACTTCCGCACAAGCTAAATATTGCCTATGAAGTCCCCCCTCGTCCCTCCTCACAAGGGTGCTCACCTGGCTGGGATATTAGTCTTGAGGACTAGCTCCTTGCGAATCAGAGAGCCAACTGTGGACCAGGCCGTGTTCTTACTCCCAGGAGCCACCTGTAAGAACAATCCGCATAACAACCAAAAGAAGATCGTGGCAGAATAAAATCACATCGTTGGTGCGCAGGTGTGCGCCAGAGGCTCCCATGGAGAGGGGAAGGCTCTTGGAATCAACTCACCAGAGAGAAAGATTTATCGCACAGTGGCTGAGCGGCTCTTTGTAATTCTGGTTTCGTCAGGTAACCTCGGGAGTTGGGATTCTAGGGAGAAAAGATCAAAACAGCAGAGAGACAGAGAGAGAGAAAGTCATATATTCCTTCCCGGCATCTGCTTCTTAGGGCTTAAGTGCTACATCTACCAACAGTTCTTTCCCCACGTCCTCCTGCGTGTGTGGGGGTGTCTCTGCCTACCCCAAAGGATGGCCCGGATGCGGACTTTGTACGCTCGGTTCGCTTACCGTTCGGTCCCGGTAGAGAGCCAGCAGGAGAGCGTAGGCGGGCGAACGGCGAGGGGGAAGACGGCCCGTCTTGCCTGACGTGGGCTGGTTTGTCCGAGAAGAAAGGAAAAAAAAGATTAGCTCATGCCTTTGTCAAGAATGCACACATAAGAGTTTTTTTAAAAAAACCTATTCTTCACCTCCAAATTGGACACAAATAGGGCAGTCCCTGATGGCGGCTTTACAGTCTAAAAGGCGCAACACGAAAGAAGAATGGAAGGCCGCAAAGGGGGGGGGAGACCCAAACAAAATCAGGCGCTCAGTTCTGGGCTACTATATTCAACAGTTGGTTAAATTCGGCTCCACCGGTGGCTGTGCCAACTGGAGGATCATGGGAGTTGTAGTTCAAGGAGTCCCATTTCCACGCTCTGGGGGGTCTCTCAAGGAGCTGGCGTCCATTCCGGTTTTGTTCCCGCAGAAGGATTCGGAGAAAGGGCAACGGCCAGTTTCAGAATCTCTCATTTTATAAATCGAATTGGCTCGGACCCTCGGGACGACACCCCTACGGAGGAGGGCCCGAAGAGGCAGGCTGTCCCACTAAATAGATTGTGTGCCTTTTGTCTGCATTTCTCCCAAACATACTGTACATCTTTGTGTACATTTTTTCCAAGATAACCTCTTCTGGGTGCGTTATCCGGTCGAATAGAGTGTCGCCCTCCGGAACGACGTAAACTCGTTAAAATTCTGGGGCAAAAAGGGCTCCGTCCCATTGCAAGTCTTGCAAAGGGTATAATGAGTCTTTTTGGTAGGGAGATGGAAACCTAATTCATTTATTTTCATCCCTCGCACAAAAGACGTTCCCCAGCCGTCCGCGGTAGGGCAGTTTCCTCGTTTTCCCCCTGCCGCAGACGAAAGAAATGAGGTCTAATTCTGTCAAGAGCGGGGACGGCTCTGAACAAACCACTTTTGCAGGCTGGCTAAGAATCCGAACGGATATAAGGACCCCTTCAGAGCCGTTCCTTGAGACGCCCGCCTGCCCGAGGCTAGACCAAACAGAAAAGATTGGCGGGCATCCCCTTTCCATCCGTCGCCAGTGGGCAAGCCTCCCGGTGGAGTGACCCTTCTGCCTTTCCACCAGAACACGACAGCACGCAAATGGCGGAAATTTGTTTTTTTTTCTCCCTCTGACAGCAAATTTTTGTTGCTTTTGCAGAACGACCATCACCCCGGCTTCTCTTTATTTTATAAACCAAATGTGCCTTTTCCCAAAGAAACCAGATTGAAGAAAACAGACACGAGGGGGCACCCTTGACACTAATTCCCCATATTTAAAAGGCTGTTTACCCCACCGCAGACCTTCCGCCACCAAAATGCTGCAGCAACGCTTCCTTCCTCCCGTTCCTCATCTTTTTCTCTCCAGGGGCGTCAAAGCCTAATTTCGGGAAGCTTCCCCCTCGGGATGTAAATCTTTAGTCCTCTGTTTTTTTCGTTATTTGCTCCAAACACAGACTCCTTGACTTTTAAATTTAAAAAAAACACACACCCTCTTTGGCTTTTTTTTTTTCATGATAAGGCCAAGAATTCCCACAAGGGCGGATGAATATCACGAATAACGTCCTAACTGTTAGAGCAGTACGACGATGGGACTTTTGGAGATGGTGAACGCTACGGTGCTGGAGGCCTCTTGCCAGATCTGCTTTGATTTAGATTCCTGCCTTGAGCAGGTTTTTTGACCTCGTTGGCCTCGTAGGCGCCTTCCGATTCCATTATTCCGTGATTCTATGATTCCTCTCCAGGCAAACCTGATGTACGAAAACAGCTTGTCTGGTCAAGAATGAGAACTTCTGCTAATATTTGACAAGTCTCTGAACCCCTGCTGGGTTGATTGATTATGTAATAATCAATGGGCTTTTTCTAACAAAGAAGGGCTGGTGGTATTCTCACCTTGGTGCGTTTGCTTTGGCTTTGAGCCGGCCCCGTGCAAGGCGGTCCCTCTGGAACATCGTTGAACCGTGTGCTTCCACCGCTGGGAGGGCTGCCGTCTCCCTCTGGCTCCCTCGGAGAAGAAGCCGGAGCCTCTCGTTCTGGAATTCGCGGCACAAAACAAAATCAGTCCCCGGTTGCCGATGGCCAGAAATCAGATTTCGAACTGCGTCTCCAGGAATGCCCCAGGAAATGGGAATGCTACCGTGTTTCCCAGAAAATAAGACGGGGCTTTATATTCATTTTTGCTCCAAAAAAAGGCATTGGGGTTTATTTTCAGGTGAATTTTAATTTTTTTCATGGACAACCATCTACATTGATTCAGATACAGTCCTGTCCTCTTCTTCTGGTTGCTGCATAGGGGTGGAAGATGGGGTTTCCCTTCACTGGGGCTTATTTTTGGGGTAGGGCTTCTATGACGAGCACCCTGCAAGGGCTTATTTTCAGGTTAGGTCTTATTTTAGGGGAAACCAGGGTAGATGCTGGCCGGGTTAGCTCAGTGAGTAGGAGTCCCTGGCTGATGGAGCGAGGAATCAGAAGTTGAACTCCGCATGTCAACTGCTGGGAGAAGAGGCTTTGTGATTGCAGGCAAGCAGCCCACTTCCCTCCCGGAGCATCCCCAGAAGACAGGAAGGGGAAACTAACTCTGAACATTTTATACCTAGGAATCCCAGGCAAGGGTTGCTAGGATTTGCACAATAATAACAATAAGGATAACAAGAATAATAATGCTTTTATGACTCCTGCATTGAGCAGGGGGTTGTCCCCGAATAATTCCCAACTCAATTATTCTATGATTCCATCAACTGAGGAACGACGTGAAGGCTCGTCGTCAGCCAAGATTGTTTCGGGCCCAAAATAGACCTCTTCAGAGCTGCCTATTCTTAAAAAAAAGCTTGGGTAGTGAGATATAAACAATTATTTTCCCCAAGGTTTGGAGGCAGTAGACTTTGTCATGTTTAGATAATTTCTCCCCTTGGGTTGAGAGAGTGTAGAAAGTGGCGGGGAGCCCACCAGGATCCTGGCGATGGCTCACAGACTACCATCGGACGACTCCTCATTCAAAGCAATCAAGAAAATTGGGCGTCTGTCCCCCTGATTTACATATAGCCCCCCCTCTTTTTCTAACAAGAAAAAGGCCACGAATTTGCCCCAGCACAAAAGACTCTGTTCTCCGGATAGGCGGCCCTTTGTTTAATGGGATTTACCAGATTTCACATATTAATGCCGCACAGCCATCAGGAGGAGGAATTTGCTGGGGTGTGGACGGTAAATTAAAAGTCTTCGAACGGCCAAAGCCGACATCCCTAAATACAGCCGTGCTTGCTTGATCTTATTCTCAACTGTTGCAAACTATCCAAAGGAAAAGTGTTTTTCAGTTTGGGGTATGGAGGGCTGGCCCTCTGTATTTTTTTTATTATTATTATTATTTGTGCAACCTCCCCGTGGCGTTTTCAGCATTTAGCATGCCAGGAGGGATTCCCAGGAGCTGTCAGTTAAACCGTTCAAATACCAGTCGTATTTGGTGTTTGACAAAGGGCTTCCTCTTTGACAAGACAAAGGGCCGTCTCTTTCCGTATCGGTTTCCCATTCATCTTGCTATCATCCAAAACCCTATTAGTATAAAGCAGAATACAGTGGTGCCCCGCTTGACGACGATAATCCGTTCCATTAAAATCGCTGTTAAGCGATATCGTCGTCAAGCGAAAGAAAAAACCCATTGAAAACCATCCCAATGCATTCCAATGGGCGAAATTCCTCATCGTCCAGCAAAGATCCTCCATAGGGGAAGCCATTTTCGGTCACTGTCTTCCAGAAATAGGTCTGGAAAACAGCGGGCGACCATTCTGAAACCCGACAATCAGCTGTTTTTGATCGTTGTAATGCGAAGAGTCAGTTCCCGAAGCAGGGAACCGATCGTCGTAAAACGGATTTTCCCCATTCAATCATCGTTTTGCGATCACAATAGCGATCGCAAAAACCTCATCGTGAAGCGATTTCGTCG